GCTACTATGGATTTCCTCTTGAAGGAAAGAGGATAAGGCTCAACTCCTGACCCTTATTTGACCCTGCCCTTAGCGACCTTTGTGACGTCCCCCTAATGACCTTCCTGACGTTTGACTCTCCCCCTAATGACCCTCGTGACGTTTGACCCTCTCCCTAGTGACCCTCGTTAGGATTGATCCTCCTGACCCCCCCTCTTGACCCCCCCCCTAATGACCCTCCTGACGTTTGACTCTCCCCCTAATAACCCTCGTGACGTTTGACCCTCTCCCTAGTGACCCTCGTTAGGTTTGACCCTCCCCTTAGTGACCCTCGTGACGTTTGACCCTCCCCCTAGTGACCCTTGTGACCCTCCCTTTAGTGACCGTCGTGACCTTTGACCCTTGTGAGGTTTGACCCCCCTCCCCTTAGTGACCCTCGTGACCCTGAACATTTTGAAAAAAAAATCACCCAAAAATATTGAAAATCAAGGAAGTTATGATTTTTTGAAAAATTTTCGTTGTTTTCGATGCATATTTTCAGGTGATTTTTTTTTCAAGTTTTCAGCAATATTGAATTCGGGTTTGGAGGTATCAAATCGTGGTTTTGCACACGAAATATACATAGAAAAACTTTTAAAATGAGCCGTCATTCGATGTATTCCATTGTTATTTAAGGATTTTATGCAACAAAAAGTGTTTTTTATTCAATCACAATTACCTGAAAAATCTCATTTTTTTTTAATCCGAAATTTTCACCAAACATCATCAGTAAGATGATGAAAATTTTGGCAGCAATTAAAGTTATTACTTCGCAGTGGTTGACTGCATTTTGATGGGTGAAATAAGCATGTTGCTGGAAATCTGAGGAAAATGTTACCTAATTTCCCTTAAATCAAGATGTGGGTGCTGATGATCTCTTTGTCGATTTTTTCTCTCAAAGTAGATCTTCAGACGAACATTTAAAAAAAATCATTGAAAAATATCGATAATTAAGGAAGTTATGATTTTTTTAAAATTATTATAAATTATAAATTATTATAAATTAGAATGATTTGTAATGTTTTGTAGGTTGAGAACCCAGATGTCTTCGATTAAAAGACCCAGAGGTTCTTATTGTGAGAACCTAAAAGTTCAAAATTCCAGAACCACGATCTCCTTAAACTAAGAGAAAATGTGCCTTACCGTCAGTGACGCGGTTATGGAACCGGTACCGGTTATGGAATCAGCGTTACATTTAGCCAAAAATCCATGTGACCCTAAACCGTGATGGCACCAGTTTTCCGAATGGTTAAGGGGCACTCACCCATCAGCATCGCATTATCCATATTTTTTCCCGTCAAATGTGGAATATTAACTTTTAGAAGTCAATTCCGATGTTTTTCCAACAGAAGGACACTTGATTTTGATTGACAAAGTTAGTAATTAGATGAATATTCGGGAAAATGAAATATAGTAATATATATAATGAAATGGAAAAGAAAAAAGTAATAGACACGGTTGGAATTTTGTTAAGGCGAATTAAAGAGGTTGCGGCGAAGAAAATTTAGGAAATCGTTTATGAAAAACATCCACTGCAATTTTATTGTTATTTCAATAGTAAAAATCTTATTAAAGACTAGTGAATAAGCTCTCTCCAACCGTTTCCTCTTCACCACATCGTTAAAACTCTTCTTCTTAACTTGAGTCAATTTCTTTTTTCGGAGTTTCTCCTCCAAATCCTTCTCTTTTTTGATTGCATGAGCTCATTTAGCAGCCCCCTGTCATTGAATTTTCAACTCATGTTTGTTCTGGACCATTACAAAATCGGTGGTAAGGTTAGAATGAATACATTCGTCAAATCTCAAATGCTGTATTTCTTATAAATTTTTGTTTTTCTTCCGTTTTTTTTCAATCTGTATTAATTCAAAAATTGTCCACCAACTCACGAAAACCGATTAAAATGAATTGTTTGCTTACATTTGGTCTCCAGATCCTTATGAAGTGTGACTGAATCCAACCGCCTGTGCACTATTCATAAGGCTCGATAAACAGCTCTGTCGATCGAGCACTCGCATAAATGTAATTTTAGAAATTTATTGTACTCTGTATAATGCAAATGAATACTGTAATTTGTGCAAAAATGACTGCGCTTCGAGAGGAAAACAATGAAAATGGACTTCGATGCCTTTGAATACTTATTCAGTCGTTCGAAATTCTTTGGGTCCCTTTGGAAAACTGGTGCCACCACGGTATATTTACTGTGATGAGCGAAGTTAAATGGAATCTATGGACTGTATACTTTCTCTGAAACCAAAAGTATCCACTCAACAATACTTTTAAATTACTGAAAACAATGCTGTTCCATAACTGGGCTTCGTTTCTCGTCCTATAATACTAATAATTATGTTAGATTTGAGTGGAAATTTCTATTATTTCCAGGTGTATCTGCTTGCTAGACTTCATTACCACAGAATTCTAAAATTCTGCGTTTTTCACTGGTCAATAATTAAAAAGTTTTTTTCTCGACGTAGTCTTGATTAGTCTCAAACAAATTGTAAACGGTCTCCTTGAGCAATTACTCTGAACTGAATCTGAACATTAGTTTTTTGAGAAAATATCAGTTGACCTCGTTTGTTGCAAATTCCATCAGTCACCGAAGACAGCTTTCGACATTTCCTTCTTGACTTATTCACTCCAATGACTTTTATTCTCTGATGTAAGTGTTCGTGTAATTCTCAAAACAGTCGCATTTGACTTCGAACGATTTTCATCACTCGTCTGGATCTTTTGTATCAAACCGTATAAATAAATTTCTGTTTGTTTTACATACGCATTCAGGACAGTCCGAAAATAAAGTTCAAAAGATTATAAACAACCTCTTTTCCAAGTAAACCCCTCGTTAAAATTTATCTGCAGATAGTGCCATTTTCCTTGATCCACTTAATGGTTAAGGCATGACTGCTTTAACATATTCAGAGGTCCCAACTTGTTTTCATCTATCTCTCTCATTCTTTCGCTTTCCCTGGTCAATCCTTAGTCGTTGGATTCACCTGTCACTGAAATTCTTGAGCAATTTGCCGGCATGTATCTTCCTTACTCGAATATCGAAGTAAAAATAGAGATTACGTAGGTGAATTGCAGAGTATTATTGGGTTCTCCGTAATCTTTGCATTCAAGTGCAGGGTGCATGAGAACCAGGGAGACGAGACCTTGAGCTTATCGTTTTCGCAAGTACTTGTTTTCAATAATTCATAAAATACTGTTGAAAAAGAATTGAAATTTCTGGACACTAGTAGTAATTTTCAGGAGAGCGACATTGCAGTCGATTTCCAGGTGGAAAAACCATTAAATTTTAAATTTTACTGATTTGTTTTTGTCTCAGAATTTCGACCAATAAAATCGTTGCATTTGACGTTACCTTGTATACCCTACACGGGTTTACAGCGATAACTTATTCATAATTTTTACTGCGCTCCATTTTTTATAGCTATAAACCGCGATTCTACACTCGCTTCGCGCGGTTAGATCGGTTTTCCGCCCCAGTGACAGATAATAGATAAATATTGTTGCGTATTTGTCGTTTTCCTCCTTTTCAACCAACTTCATGTACGATCATCTCTTCCTTTCTCCATATTCTTTTATCGAAATCATTAAGTTTTTAAGGAAAATTTTTAATCTGCAAACTTCGACTCTTTCGTTTGTTTATAACAAACCTATGAGGAATTAGGGAATAACTTAAACGATCTCGTGCTAGTCTAAGTGAAAATTCAACGGCATTCCAAATTTTCGGCAGAAATACTAGAAATTCACAACTTATTTATATTTTCACAATTAAAACATGCGCATTTAATAACACTAGGCGGGATGCGTGCTAGCTAGGTTGCATGAGATCGATATATGCGGTCATTTTTTTTTCTCCTGATTTTAATAACGTTTTATAATAACAAATACCTTTTGAATTGGTATATGAATAGTTTCATCGACTTGACCAAAAGTTGTTAAAAAATCCAAATCAAACTGAATTTACAATAAACATCATGAAATTCCATTTTTGGATAAAAACTCCCATATGTTAATGAAAATAAACCTTAATCAAATGATTCAGGGGTCAATTTCAAGGCAACTTAATATATTTTCACTTGAGCATAAGATATCCCCACCATCTCGTCATTAAACGGAAAAATATGGAAATTTTCAAAATGTGACATGTTAAAATCGCTACATTATCGCTTGTAACAATTGATCTGGTGGATGGAATAGATAATATGGGGTCTCAATTTGAAGACTTCGATGAGACCTTGAAATTGACATATGATATGTCCCCGCTGGTCAAGTCTAAAGCCTCAATAAATGGCAAAAACCGTCATTTCCGAGGTGTGACGAAACGCAAAAAATGGAAAGAATCTACAATAACTTATTGGAAATTTAATTAAATCAGATTTATCATGCACCACTTTGAAGAATAGTAAATGCTCTTCAAAATTATATGTAGATATCCCTGGTTAGTCCACTTAGGAGCATCGAAAAATCTAAGCAAAGTTAATTTTCCAAGTGAAGCATGAAAATTCAATTTTCGCCTAAACCTCTAATAAGTTATTGAAAAATTGTCACAATTGGGCAAATCAGGTGTCATGTTGAAGTTTATTCTAAAAACTTTCAAATGAGTACATTAAATGGATGGTTTATGAAGACAAAAAGAAGGACTTGTGCATAGAAACCAAAGGAAAAACATTAGTTACGTACACGGGTTTTTCTACAGAGGAAAATTATGTTGAGTTTTTAATAATTGAAAATTCAAGAATATATTTACCTGTATTGTTTCAATTTCTGTTCGTTTCCATGGAATAGTTGAGCTGAAATTCATCGTGTCCATAGATTTTTTCATTGAATTGTGAATTTTTAATGACAAAATTCCTTCAAATTTCAGAGGAGGAAACTTCATAAAAATTTGAAAAAATTGCGCAGAAAATATCAGTCAAAAATTTATGAGTGTTCATACTAAATTACAATAATAATTTGAGATTTTTTTGTTGATTTTCCAGAGTGATCCAAGTACAGCTTTTCTTCGGGCTGCGCGGGCTGGCCAACTGGAGAAAGTTTTAGAATTCTTGGAGTCTGGAGTTGACATCAACGCCTCAAATGCTGTGAGTGAAAAAAATCCGTTAATAATTCATTTGGGAAGTCGTAAAATGATTCGAGCCAACATAATTGTCAATTGGTCAATCATATCGGTAACGGGTCATGGTAGCAGAAATCATCAACAGATTTTTTTGTATAAAATTCTGTCATCTGAAAGAAATATGTGATGTTTTTTCCTCAAAATTAATAATTTGCTGAATGTTTTCAATTTGATATGCGAGGAAACTTTTTTTATCTTCCCGTAAAACTTCTATTCTTTTTTTATTCCTGTAAAATTGATCATCAATGTTTCATTCTGTGCTGAAAATATAAAGAGATCATTTTTCTCGCATTCTGAAGCCACAATATTGCCATTCCATTGCATGAGAAAACATTCAAGGATCGATTATTTTGTCGCATTGAATTTCAGTTTATTGAAGATTCACACAGACTTCATTTGCAAATGTGTTCTTTCTTTTAATCTTAAATAAAAAAATCTGTTGCCCATTTTTTGGTCGCGATTCACGCAAAAACGACTGAATGGATTTCAATGATATTGTTACTATTACATAGTTTAGGGTCCCCAATCGGCTTTAGGCTATAAGTTATTGCCCTACGGTGCGTAGTTTAATATTCATCGTAGAAACTTCTAGAAAATTCTTGAGCTTTCTGAAAAATTCTAGACTATTCTCGAGTTTTCGATACTATTTTTGAGATTTCTACAAAGTTTGGGAATACTCTCGAGTTTAATCGAAAGTATCCAGAAAATGTTTTGGTTCAGCAGAAAATTCCAGGAAATTCTCAGCTTTTCTAATCGATTCGAAGAATTTTTCCGGTTTTCGAAAGAATTCGAGAAAATTGTCAGTTTTACAGATTTTCTAGAAATTTTTTTTGTTTCAATTAAGCAATTTAATGTCAAATTCTAATTTGACTAGCTGTGTGGCCCGGCTTCGCCCGGGCAGAATAACAGAAAATTGAATACCACGATTTAGGAGAATTCCTGTAATTAAAAAAAACACCTCAATGTTTTCGACTTTTTTAGAACACCCGAGAAGTCACGAAAATTTGAAGGTTTTCCAAAGAAATTGAGAAAATTCTCGGATGTTCTAGAAAAATCGAAAACATTGGGGTGTTTTTTTTTAATTGCAAGAATTCTCAAAAATCCTGGTATTCAATTTTCTCTTATTCTGCCCGGGCGAAGCCGGGCCAGACAGCTAGTTTCTCTTTTTATTATAAAAATCCAAATCGACTTTTGGTGATAAAAAATTGGTACTCAAAATTAAGACCCCAAAATCAAGGGTCACAAGGGCTAAAATAAGGGTCCCGAGGCTCAAAATAATAGTCATGAGGGTCAGAATAAGGCTCACGAGGGTTATAATATGAGTCACGAGGGTCATAATAAGGGTCACAAAGGTCAGATTAAGGGTGAGAAGGGTCAGAGTGTTAAGGGTCACAAGGGCCAGATTAAGGGTCACGAGAGGTATAATAAGGGTCAGAATAAATCTTACGAGGGTCTGATTACAAAGGTCAAAATAAGAATCACAGGGCCAGAGTAAAGATCACAAGGGTCAGATTAAAGGTCACAGGAGTCAGATTAAGGGTCACGAGGTCAGAATAAGTATCATGGGGGTCATATGGGAATCATATAGGGGTCATATGGGGGTTGGCGAGCGGAGCGAGCAGGGGCGGTAGCCCCCTAGTTAAGTATAAAATTGAATGAGAATTCGAATTCTTATCGATTTTGAATTATACAGCTTATTACACAGCTTTTCTCAATGAAAAAAATCTCCTGAAATTCCATATCACGTGCGACGTGCTTTAATACCCCAACAATTGTCACTGGATACACAGCATCAAATTAGTCATCGCTACTCATTTATTACATTTATTTTTAATTCCATTGTTCATCAATTCTATTGTTAAATTTCTTTTTACAGAATGGCTTGAATGCTCTCCACTTGGCAGCCAAGGACGGCCACTTGGAGATAGTGCGGGAGCTCTTGACGCGTGGTGCGACAGTCGACGCAGCCACCAAGAAAGGAAACACCGCCCTACACATTGCTTCTCTCGGTAAAATATCACCACACCTATCAATAACTCTCCACTAAATGTCATTAACATGATCCGCTAAAAACCATTAATTCCCTCTCATTTATCATAATTTATGCATCCTCCCACAGCTGGACAAGAGGAAGTTGTACAACTGCTCGTTCAGAAAGGCGCCTCTGTCAATGCACAATCCCAGAATGGTTTCACCCCTTTGTACATGGCAGCCCAGGAAAATCACGATTCTGTCGTTAAATTCCTACTCAGTAAAGGAGCGAATCAGACACTCGCTACTGAGGTAAATTCTAACTGCTCTCCAACTCGTTCACTGAATCGAGTGACACTTTAATTAAAAAGAGATTTATATTCACAGGACGGTTTTACTCCTCTTGCTGTTGCCATGCAGCAGGGCCATGACAAGGTTGTTGCTGTCCTGTTGGAGAGTGACACGAGGGGAAAAGTTCGGTTACCCGCACTTCACATTGCCGCTAAGAAAGATGACTGCAAAGCTGCAGCATTGCTACTCCAAGTAGGATATGCTTTTTTTTATACAGAAATCCAACAATGTTTAAGCCCACTTTTTTCTTAACACTAGAACAGGGCCAGATTAGTAAAACTTTACCGTTTTTCACCATCATTAATTTTTATCTCAATAATAACGCAGGAAAAACGAATGGTTTCAACAAAGTGTTCCACAATGAGAATTTAATTGCTGAATAATTTATTCGAAATCGTCATAATCCTCTTCATCTTCTTCTTCGTTTTTCTTCAACTTTTTGGCTTCTGTATACATATATACTATCCTATATAAATTTTTTACAGAACTATATTAATTTTTTATAGTTGAAAAAAATTAAAGTATAAAAATATATATAGTATATATTATATATTTTAATTTCAGTAAGAAATGAATTTCTCTTCTTATACAATTATTGCGAACAAAAGATTACAGTACATTAAAAAGTATACATATTAGATATCATATTACATTACTTGATAAGCGGAATGGAGGTTTCAAAATCGTTAAACTAGATTTTTTAAAGTGGATTAAAAGTGGATTTATTCGGAATAGATTAAATGCCGATACGAGACTCCGAAGGGCACAATTTTTTCACAAAAATAATTCTCTATTTTTCTGTTTTGTCAGTGAGTTTCAGATTTTTGAGACCATTTGTTTTGACACATGTTGTTTTGCTTTTCAATTTTTTCGTAAATGAGCTTCCTAAAACGTTTAAAACTTCTACTTAATTTTTTATAGCGTTAAATCCACGTAATTCATATTTTTTAATATTTTTGTCGCTATTTTTGGAGTGATAGAGAAACTGCTTCCAGAATAACTTTTAATTAATATCGCTGCATCTGTGGGGAATAGACGAAAATTCATAAGAAGCTTCCATGTTGAACGAGATGAGCAAAACTCCTACCAACTTTTATATATTATATTCTTTAGGGAGCAATCTACGGGTGAAATTTGAACCACATCATAATTTCATCTCATTACTGTTTGAGATTTGAGGCTTTCGCGGCCAATATTATCATTCACTATTATGGGAAACAATGCGAAACGTCTGTAAAAAACAGAATTTAGACGCGACATCCATCCGGAAGCTATAACAATCATTAATGTCTTTTTATAAAGAAGGTGATAGAATTAATTTTTTATCCTTTTGAAAATTACTCGGATTTTCTACATTATTCACTCAATGTTAAAAAAAATCATGTAGTGAAATGATTGATTATTATTTAATGAGTTTCTATTAATTTTTTTATTAACAATTCTTTGATAAGCAGAACAAATGAAATGAAGTTGAGACAATTCGTAGTGAGAATTCTTAGGGCAATAATTTCATAATAACAAGTTTTTCAAATCGATCGTTGTTCAAATTTTCTTCTTCAACTATTATAAATTGCTTCTTCTAATGAAAAATCTGAGTAAAAAAATGTGAAAAATCATATGCACAAGTCGAATTGATTGTTCTATGATACAAAATAATGGGGCAGAATAGAATGCTTCCAATTAGAAATTTTGCACCACTCCAAGGCTTATCTCAAGTATTGAACCATTAGATAAAAAATCCGTTGATCTCACAGTAAACATAGATCTACATTAGTCCACTCTTTATTGCAAATTTTCATAACACGCTGTTAAAAATTTTTAGCTGAAATTTCCACTACACTTTTCGGAAATTTGTGTCACATTCAAGTTTCACTGAAATTTCAAGTCATTTCATCATTAAAAATTCTGAATTGCTGGGAAAAGTCATTAAGAACTGTAATTTTTAGTGCAATTACTCCCTGAAAATTAATAGAAAACCGTAAAATTCCTATAAACATAATCTTGGATTTTTAATTATTTGAAAATTCGGGGTAATTTGGCACTGAATCTTGATGTTTTCATTGAAATTTCAAATAACTTGAAGAATGCTCGTCTTCATGTTTCTAAAAATGTTGAAATTTAATTGAATTTTCAGTGAAATCTGAAATTTCATGATTTTTTCTCCCTTAAAAATTGCATTCAGTGGCATTGTCCTGAAAATTACTAGTCAACTGGATCGATGGCGGTGGCTGTGTGGTTAGAGTGTGGGATTGACATGCGGGAGACCCGGGTTCGATTCCCGGCTGGGGGGGCCAAAATTTGTGACACTCTAAATCTTCACGGTTTCATTGTCGAGCGGAAGTCTCGCAAGAGACGACTACCTAGGGGCAGGTTTTTCCCTCAAATGAGGTTTTCCCTTGTCCTTCGGCGAATGCGGTACAGGGAGTTGGGGGCTGGGAAGGGAACAAATCGTAAAGACCCGAAAGGGCAAACGAGGAGGAAAAAAAAATTTACTAGTCAACTGTCCATGAAATTTCATTTTTATTCTACCAGTGCAATATCGATTTCAGATATGCTTCACGCATGATTCTTTCATGCGTGAAAGATGTAATTGACATTTTATGCATTCCAGAACGACCATAATCCCGACGTGACATCGAAGAGTGGCTTCACACCCCTCCACATTGCTGCCCACTACGGAAATGATCGAATTGCCTCACTGTTATACGAAAAAGGGGCCGACGTTAATTTCGCTGCGAAGCACAACATAACTCCAATGCACGTAGCAGCTAAATGGGGAAAAATAAAAATGGTGAATTTATTAATGAGCAAAGGTGCTAACATCTCGGCAAAGACTCGAGACGGTCTGACGCCCTTGCACTGTGCAGCACGAGCAGGTCACCACGAAGTTGTTGATATTCTGATTGAAAAAGGCGCTCCAATTGGGTCGAAAACGAAGAATGGTTTAGCGCCACTGCACATGGCATCCCAAGGTGACCACGTAGATGCTGCTAGGATTTTACTCTATCATCGTGCACCTGTCGACGAAGTAACTGTAGATTATCTGACTGCTCTTCACGTTGCGGCCCACTGTGGTCACGTACGTGTTGCAAAACTTCTTCTCGACCGCAATGCAGATCCAAATGCCAGAGCACTGAACGGCTTCACGCCACTCCACATCGCGTGCAAAAAAAATCGTATTAAAGTGGTGGAATTGCTGCTTAAGCACAAAGCTAGTATTGAAGCAACGACTGAGTCCGGCCTTACGCCTCTTCATGTCGCTAGTTTTATGGGTTGTATGAATATTGTTATATATTTATTGCAAAACGAAGCTAGTCCAGATATACCTACTGTCAGGGGAGAGACACCACTTCATCTTGCCGCAAGAGCTAATCAAACGGATATCATTAGGATATTGCTGAGAAATGGGGCGCAGGTTGATGCTAGAGCCAGGGTAAATATTTTCGTCTTCCTTAAATTTTTCTTCGTAACGCCTGGCTCCATTATCTGCCGAACGTTATCTAAATTAATTTTTTTGTTCGATTTCTATCTCGAAATTTTAACCCGATGCCCGTGATTCAGGGACAAAAATTCTAAATTTAAACTGTAAAAAAAGTAAAAACATTCTATTTTGAAAGAACGTTTTTAATTAATATTGAGGAATAATTTTAAGAGAGGTGATACGAATAATGTATAATCAGGGATGGCCATCAATCTTTCGATTCATCAATATGAAAAGAATTGCCGACTTATATTGATTAAGGTTTAAATATACTGATCGAAATTTGAAAATAGTAAAATAATGGGTGTCCCATAGCATGTGACCAAAGTAAATTGCAAATAACTTGGATACAGTAAAATGTAAATAATTATTCTTTTTTATTGTACAAGGAACATTCGGCAAATTACAATACAATTCCTTCCAAGTGTCCGCCATCACTTGTACTACAGAACTCTATCCTGCGTCCAAAACTGGTGTAGATGTGATGTATTGTGTTTTTATCAACAGCTCGGATAGCATCCCTAATTGCGTCTTGCAACTCTCCCACCGTCGTCGGATGCTTCTCATAGCACTTGTCCTTTAGAAAACCCCATAGGCAAAAATCGCAGGGATTTAACTCCGGACTGTAAGGCGGCCATTCCATGTCCCCATGGGCATACTTAGGGTAACCTAAGCCTAACACACGAGTGCCGTAAACGGAAAAAAGTATTTCAAATACTCCAGCAGTCCTGTGTGGGCGGCACCATCTTGCATGAAGTAGAAATTCTTGACTAACTGATTTTTTCGCCCAAGGAAAAAAGTTCTTCTTCAAGAACTCACAGTAAATATCAGCACTGATTGTCGGACTCTCAATAAATTCAAGGAAAATACCTTTTATTGTAATTGCCGCCCATGCAGTGAATTTTTTCGGGTGTGAGGACTTGGTTTGAATAACGTGAGGTGACTCAGTCCCCCAAAAGCGACAATTTTGTTTATTTACTAAGCCACCTAAGTAGAAATATGCTTCGTCCGAGAAGATTCTGTGCCTTCATTTCTTTAGATTCAAAAAAATTGTGAAGTTGGCAAATTTGCACACGGCGAGCCATCGCCTCCTCACTTAAAAATTGATGTACCGAAATTTTGTAGCGATGGCAGTTTAAAAACACTTTCAAGATGCGGTGAAGTGAAGTTTTTGAGACTTTAAAGGTTTGAAAAGCCTTTCGAAGAGTATCATTTGGATATTTTTTGAAATGTTCTTCAGTTGTGCGGACAAATTCATCCGTGGTTACAGTACGCGAAGGACCAGGATGCCCATGCCTTCTATCGTCTAGTGTACCGTACTGATCAAATTTCTTAATTATCCTGAAAATACTCATAATTGGTCGAAAAATGCGTCAATTTTCAACAAAAGCAGGAAACAAAATGTTTTGGTTAGTTAGTTCATTCACTTTATTTACCATTTGAGACTCGAATCAGACACTCCAGTGTGTGTGCCATACTTAGAATGAAATGCTCTTATAGCTGCAGTAGCTGAATCTCCTTTTCGGTAATATGATTTGATGAGGAATGATTTTTGTTCGATGGTTAAATTTTCCATTTTAGTGCTGCAATTCCTGAGCGACTGAAGCATGAATGAAATTTGCGGAGTCTCCACTTCAACCATATATTAGACTTCAGACTGCACTGTCACCTTGCGGTATTCTACGCAATTTACTTTGGTCACATGCTATGGGACACCCTAAATTTCCAATTGATGGTGATCTTTAATAATATGGATATGTAAATGTCCTATTAAGTAAATAATACTAAATTGCTTACAAGGGATTTCTGATTATTCAAATAATCGTTAATTTTCCTAACTAAATTACTGATTAATAAATAATTCGGAATTTGAATATTTAAATTTATGATTACTTCAATAATGAAAATTTAAGAGTGATATTAGCTAATTGACTATACCTAATATTATTATTTTTTTCTTTATTCATATTTCTTTCCTATTACCATTATGGTTTTATAGGCTCCCCATTCGTCTGCCTTGCTTCTCCAACTTCTCTCTTCCGATTGACTACTTAATAATTTAACGATAATAATAATTTATGGATATGGCTATCCCTGTGTACAATTACCTGAGGGGTGAAAAGAGGAGGAAAGACGAAATAATAAATCTTTTGGCACACCGCAACAAGACGATTGTACGAAATAAGGCTCTTTAAAAAAATTTGTAATGTTTTAAGAATTTTTTGATCACACTTTTACGATGAGTTACTAGCATCAATCACTGGAGCCAATCTCCTCCGTTGATAATTGTACTGGCGATGCGCTGTCACTTTTGTCGGGAATTGAAAACCTAGGCAAATCGCTCTTTCTTCCTTTTTTGCACCCCCGCCAGTACGATTATCAATGGAGGAGATTGGCGTAAGTGAGTAGTAGTTCATCGTGAAAGTGTGATCAGAAAATTCTTGAAAATAAGTAATTATACATTAATTCATATCTCCTCGATTGAACTCATTCCTCAATATTGATTAAAGACGCTCTTTCAAAATGTTCAAAATTTTTTGACCTTTTTTCAATCCAAATTCATAATTTTCGGAGGTCTCTGAATGACGGGGGATCAAGTTGAACTTTCGAGATAAAAACCGAACGAAAAACACTCTAGATAATGATCGGCAGATAATGGAGCCAGGCCTTGACTTCCTTCAATTATGAGAATATTTGAAAATTCGAAGCAGGCAACGAAATTTTTACACAAAATTTTTAATCGCTTTCAGTTTGCTGCTAGAGAGGCTTCACATGAAAATACCTCTATTTTCCTCGAATTCTACGATATTCTATTTTAAAAACGTATTTGCTCTAAAGTCGAATTGACTCATGTTTTACCTCTTTGACCTTGAAATACAAAACAAATCCTCAGTTTGATTGTATCAAATGTAGTTTAAAATATATCCACGCAACATTTCATCATAGTATGATATCACGGAAAATAAACATCAATCCAAACTCGATTCAACCCAAACCACAAAGCGAATTCTCCATAGGAAGGAAATTACGCAGCCATTAGATCATTTGCATATCTATTTTATGGCCTGGTTTATAAATAATTTCTGAATTATTGCCCAAATAAAAATAATCACAATTATAAATAAAAGAAAAACAATCGTTCAGCTCTTCTTACCATTTCACATGTCAAGAAAATTTCCAAATAATTTCTTCTCCTCGGTCATGGATGAATTTTTTGTAACAAAAAAACAATCCTCTGAAAAATAAATAAAAAATATTGAAAATTTGAAAACATCTCGCTCATCAATATACAGTAACAGAAAGTGAGTGAATAAAAAATTCTTGTACTATATTATATCGGCTGGTTGCAAAATATCAATAAAAATGGGATGAATTTTGATTTGAAACAAAATTAAAATTAAAACATAAAAAAGTCTACTTACTTGACCCCGCACGGGCGGGGCCCTTTTGGTTCCAAGTGTGGTGTACGCTCGATACAACTAGAATGCGATGACTTCTAATCAACGGAAAATTATGAAACCGATATGTAATTGAAGCTGCAGTATTCCTTTTTTCGTTGTTATTTGTTCGGTTGAGTTACTTTCCATAGTTTAGGACATGATCAATTTTCAAGAGAATCATTCACATGTTCATGGGTCGATGCATGGTATATGAGAAGGGTTAATTAATTTAAATAATCATAGTTTGATTCACTGATTACAATATTTAATTGCTGTTAAATTGAATTTATAGGAAGAGCAAACACCCCTTCACGTTGCTTCACGGCTGGGCAATGTCGATATTGTCATGCTTTTACTCCAACATGGTGCCGACGTTGATGCCACAACAAAAGACTTGTACACACCCCTTCATATCGCAGCCAAGGAAGGCCAGGAGGAGGTAAATCTATTATTTTCATAGATCGGCATCAATCATTACTTTAGTAATATTAGCAGATGTTGCACCTTACAATAATTGAGTTTTTACTTATTTTCATTGAAATTTGAAAAATCACGTGATAATTGGTTATTTGAATTCCTCAATTATTGGTTGATAAAATAATTCGAAATTTAAATATTTAAATTGATGGTTAATTTAATAATCAAAAAGTTGGGGAGTAATATTAACATTTAATATTAACAATTGACTTATTCGAAATTTAACGGTAATTAAAAATTATGATTATGCCGATGTCTGATTATTTTTTCGAGTGATTTCTGCAAATAGCCTTCATCGCCATTGTGTCATATCCAATCTATATCTGTTCCAGGTTGCATCTGTATTACTGGAAAACGGTGCTTCCCTCACAGCAACAACGAAGAAGGGCTTCACTCCCCTACACTTGGCTGCCAAGTACGGTAACATGAACGTGGCGAGGCTTTTACTGCAGAAGAATGCACCAGTTGATGCCCAAGGAAAAAATGGAGTGACACCACTTCACGTGGCGTCACATTACGATCATCAGAATGTCGCACTTTTGCTGTTGGATAAGGGAGCGTCGCCCCATGCAATGGCTAAAAATGGTCACACCCCTCTTCACATTGCTGCTCGAAAAAATCAAATGGATATCGCCACTACTCTTTTAGAATATGGAGCTAAAGCGAATGCAGAATCAAAGGCTGGATTTACGCCTCTTCATCTCAGTGCTCAGGAGGGGCACACCGACATGTCAACCCTGTTGATTGAACATAAAGCTGATACTAATCATAAAGCAAAGGTAAAATCTATTTTTATTTGATTGATCATTCAGTAGTGGGACGAACCAAGTCAAATATAGAATCTTTGATCTCTTTTCTGCTTGAGCATCCAGAAACTGTAGGATTTTATATGAAAATGTTGAGGATCTCTTTTGATGTTGGGAAAATTCTCTGCAAGAAGAGTCTCTTAATTTTTTTGGCAATACTGTTATGTACCAGATAATCCAACAATTGACGAGATAAGTTATTCTTACGGAAAAGTTTTTAATTGATATGAAGCGCTACTTGAAAAAATGTTGAATGATCCATTGCAGAAAAGACGGCCTAGTATCACAAAACTAATTTCTTCACTCAAATGTCATCCTTTGAGGATGAATGGTTCTAGAATAAAAGGCCATGAGTGAATTCAGCAAAGTTTTCATAACTCTAATATGAACACTTTGAGAAAAATTTTCGGCTTGAGAAATGTTTTTCTTCGTGTCAAGAGAATAGAACATGACTCAAAATACTAGAAGGTTCCACCCAGTGAATCACGAATCAGAGACGTTCATTTCGAATAAATACAGAAATCACGTAAAGGAAAATGCCCAGATTTTCCTAAAGCATGACCGTCGCTTGTTCTCAATCGCAATGAGTTTGGAGCGAATAAATGACCCATCTTCTTATTTAAAACTTTTCTTGTAGTTTTGAGAAAATTATCTTCTTTCGAAAAAACAGGAGATTGTGCACTAAGGGAGGAAATTATATTTCGTCGTAATTACACGTTAAAGTTTGATTTTTCTTCGTAAATGCAGAGATGAACATCGGTTATGTTATTCCGAGGGTCTTCGAAAACAAACGAAATTCGAGAAATGAAATAGGGCGAAAATCCATACGGAGAGACAATTCTATCAAAAATTAGGATGCTATTCACCAACGTATGGGATCAAACCATGGTTACCAAAAAAGTTGAATGTAGCACCCGAATTTTTAACGGAATTCCACGCAAAAGTAGCGTAAGATCTTCAAAAATTAGAGTGCCACATTCAAACTTTTTGGTAGACCATCCGAATTTTGTAGTAACCCCTGTTTGGTCCCATAGTTAGTGGGTAACACACTAATTTTCGAAGAGACTCGCACGGGATTATCATGTATTTTTCTCGCCGTGCAATTGCGAACCCCCTCTCCCCCATAAACGGAACACTTGAATATTTTCCCACATTTCTGGAATATTTACCTATTTATGGAATGGATTTTTTTCTTTTTAAATCAAGTCGCTATTTCCATCCATGATATGAGAATATATTTGGTGGTCTATCTGCGGTTTCCCGCTCAATAATGGAAATAAACCCTGCCAGCTGTCATTTTCAGGCATTTCGCGATAGGTGAATAGTTAGATGCGACAATGTAACTGTTATTTGGGTTAATAATCATCAATTGCCGCAAGTCCAGACTGATATTGATCCTAAAAGCTTCATTTTTTCATATTTTTACATTCATTTTATCCGAAAGTTCTTATTTCTACAAATATATGGGTGTTCCGCCATTTGGGTTGGGTTTTCATGGCATTTCTAATCGACGGAATACTGGTGTTCTCGTTTGGCAGGTGCCGGAGTGGTTTAGTCAAAAGTATAAAAATAATTGATAAGTTGAAAATACAATGGCATTTATGTTTCTATTCCTTGTTAAATTGTTCTGACAAATTCATATACGAAGAAAGTTGAGTCATATGTTCATGTGATCGACATTACTCATTTTTACGTTTTTTCACTAGTAAGAGTTTCTTTGCATAGTAAAATTTGCATCACAATTCCAATTTTTATTTATAATGTGAACTTGTTGACATTTATCTACAAAAATATTCTTATTACTTCGGGTTCCCAACGCTGCACCGTTTCATAAAGTTGTAATATTCCGTAATGGGGTGCACGATGTTCCATATTTGGCAAAAGTGTTCCGTAATAGGCCTTTTGGACTTGAATATAGTTTTTCATTTTTTCCAATTTTTTTTCATTACACAATGTGTTTTTTTTTCTAAAACCTACTGAATTTGGAATCGACCAGTATTTTTTTAAACATTTTTTCAAACAATAGTTCTTTTTCGAATCATTGTCTGAACCTTCGAAGAGCCTTGAGTGTTCTATAATTAGACTATTCACCCTCAGTCACTTTCCTCCCGTCTAGTGGGCGGGAAAATCGAACTGTCTGTACAGATGTGATGAAAAAAGAATGCAGGTTTCAATTCTATAGGAAGAATTAATGATTTTTCCTTACTCAAGGGCCTGAATTTTTATTTAAGAGAAATGGCGCTGTTATGTCCGGGACTAGTGACCGGGAAATCACGTTTTAATTTATATTCAAGTACGCCTCCGAATTAACGACAATAAAAATGATTTGAGTCGGAATGATACTCATGGACTCGTTTCCGCTGTTTTAACTAGTTGTTCTTGGAATAAACGTACATTTCTTCCTATTTATATAATTTTTATCTAATTTCATCGAATTTCGATCCCTTTGTGCATGGACATGCAAAGGAATTTTTGTGAGAAATTAGGGTTAGTGCAATGCTTTGCGTTGAGACCCATTTTATGCTTAAAATGGACAAATGTATCTATGTTCTTGACTAGCTGGTGTGCCGGGCGTTACCTAGGCAACTGTTTTTGTTGCATCTTATTTTTTATTTAAAAATCATTTGTTAATTTATTTGTTGGTTGTTTACACAGGTTAAGAATAAAAATAAAAAACATTAGCTTCCTAATTTTTATAATAGTACATTAGAGTACAAGGGCACAAATTTCGTTTTCGACGAATGTGAAGTTTACAGTCCGCGCCGAAGGCGAGGTCTGTATTCACATTCGTTGAAAACGAAGTCTATGCCCGAGTGGTCTATACTATTTTATGCCACACCGTGCAGAAGTCGAGTTTGAAGCACGCTGCGCGCAGCGCAGTGTGCGATAAACTCGACTTATTGCACGGCGTGCCATAAATGTTATTTTATAACTCATTCTCAAGTATTCCTATAACAGAATCACAAATTGACGAAATTGGGTTTTACTTCTCGAATTTGTTTGAAATTTGTGGAATCTCCTTAAATTAACCCGAAAGTTCTAGAATATCCCTGCTTCAAACTCGACTTCTGCACGGTGTGGCATAAAATAGTATAGACCACTCGGGCATAAACTTCGTTTTCAACGAATGTGAATACAGACGTAAACTTCAAGTAGACGCTCCGCGTCCGTGAATCTCTGCCTACGGCCGTCATGACAAAGAATATTGTTCGTCATACGGCCAAAAAAAACTTTTCCGACGAATATGATTGCAGCCCTCGTCTTCGGCTCGTGCTGCAAACCTCATATTCGCCAGAAACGTTTTTTTCGGCCTAATGACGAAATATACTATTTTGAAATGGTACTTCATTTTTTCAAAAGCGTAATTTACGATTTTGTCAAACGGGTAAATTATGCTTTTCAAATCGTAAATTACGGTCAGACTAACGTGAATTACGATTCTCAAAATTGGAAATCAATTCGGTTTGGAAAGCACTCATAAACATCACAATCTACCGATTTTTTCCTACAAAATATCTACTCTGAACACTTCTATTTACAAAAATGCGCAAGAAAGCTCATTTTATCCGTCAATAATATTCGCTTTTCTCAATGAAGTAATCAATTGAAAGTACTGAAATTAAGTCATAAAAGTACTTGAGAGAATTTCAAAAATTAATTTTCACCAGTACCTTTGGTACTTGTGACAAGTACTCAAAGTACTGGTGAAGGAACTTCCTCCCAGTACTATTTCTACTTGATCAGCAGGGGTGATATTATACTTCACTCAAGAATACAAAAAGTACTTGGGACAAATATTTTTCGAATTTTTCACAAGTGAACTTCCCCAGAGTAGCGGTCGGTACTGGTGAGAAGTACTTTTTTCTTTGGGTATAGATGGATTATTTGATTCATTTTTGTTTTTGTATTTCAGAATGGACTTACGCCGCTTCATTTATGCGCACAAGAAGATAAAACCAATGTTGCCACGATTCTCGTTAAGAATGGAGCCCAAATTGACGCGAAAACTAAGGTAATTGAAATTATTAAAGTAAATTTTTTCTATCTTACACCTCTTTATTTTTGTGTCTCACTGAGATGAGAGGACGGCTTCATTATAAACTAGGACTGAATTAGTAACTCCTTCGTAATAGTCCTTGAAATGCCTGCGAACTCATTGAAATTTAATTAGCTGAGGCATGAGGTATTTCTTATTTTTCAAAACGTGAAAATATCATTTTCACACTTCAATTTCGAAACCGCAGAATGCTACATTTTTTGTCAGAGTCTTCAGCTGTCAAGTCTGTGAGGGAGTAGTGAAACGATTTGAGGCGATATATTATTTGTGGTAATTGACGAGTTATCTGGTTAATAACTAATGTTAGGAAAATGTATAGGGGACGTTGTCCATTGCAAATTCAGTTTGCTTATGCTCTAGAAAATTTCACTACTGAAATTGATGCATCATCGAAGAAAAAAATACCGCGCTCAATTCACTAATGCAATTGAAACTCAGTTCAAACTGGATGTTAGAATTACTTCCACTTCAAGTGAGGGAACTCAATATTACAGTGATAAAAGAGAGAAAATAACGTCCTCCTTAATTACCAACGAAACGAGTGATTCCAGAAAAAACAAGACCAGCTTCTCGTCAGCAAAGAAAATTTCTCATTAGAACCTCATCTTAATGATTCCTCCTTACTTCACGCGATACCGAAATAGTTCAACAATGAATAACTAAGGATGTCAGAGAGATTTTGTTCAACGTATAACTGACCATTTTCACCTCAAAACCGAAAGTCAGAAAAGCCGATGAAATGAGTCGATGAAACCAAAAAGTTGAAGAGTTATGATTTTTTGAAAATTTTGTTTTTTTTCCGGTGAATAGATTATAGTATTTTTTTTCAAATTGTCACCGATATTTGATCCGGGTATCAAAGTCTTGTTTAACACATGGAATGAATATTTAGGAAATCCTTCAAAATGCGACGTCAGTCGCGGCATTACTTCGTGTTTTACGGGATTTACGGCACAAAATGTGTTTTGAAATTACTAATATTTCAAAAACCTGATTTTCCAACTATCTTAATTTTTTTCATCTTAAAAGAACAGTAACATGAAAAATATTTTGGCGCCAATTGGAGTTATTTTTCCACAGTAGTTGGCTAGTTATAAGTTTTAGAACAGTGAAGAGTGAAGTGAATTGGTGATGCGATTTTCACCACCTGAGTTTTTGGCATTCGGGTTTGACGTGGAACTGCCCAACTAGAAATTGAAGAGAACTGCAAGTGTCTTTGTTTCAATACATACAAAATCTTATCACGAACTGGGGCCAAAATCTCATAACGAACTAAGTCAATTACAATTCTATCAGTATAATAAACCTACCGAGACAATGAATATTGAATATGAAACCTCCCAAACGCAATTTGACAGTGAAGCTGTATAACGAGGTACCAATATACCGATACTGGCGATTTCACGAAAGCTGTGATTTTTCAGAACGAGAATTTTCGTCATATCAATAGTGTCCACTGAGTGGACATTTGCACGTTTTGGGGACCCAAAAATCACCTACAAGTTGAAGCGCTAGAAACTTACGGCATCAGACACTATGTGTTCATTGATCTGAATAGTATATTTCGTCATTAGGCCGAAAAAAATTTTTCTGGCGAATATGAAGTTTGCAGCACGAGCTGAAGGCGAGGGAGGGATGGCAATCACCACGATTGACAAAATCAGTTTCGTACAATTCTACGACTGTACCACCAAACACAAACCTGTCTTATAAGATTGTACCGCGGTTTTTGTGATAACTGCCTACACACGACCTTGAGCTGTACGCACTTCGTGTACAAAAACAACCACTTTACCCCCACTACTGTTCCGAACAGTGAACTTGGCAGGTATCACAAAAAATAAGATGTGTTACGCGTGCGTGCGAAAAAGTGTTTTTTTACGCACTTGTAACACAATGTACTATTTCATCACTTGTGCGTAAAGTGAAGTTTTCCGCACAAGTGATTACGCAACAGTAGTTTCGTGTGCTCTTTTCCTCACATTGTGATGAAAAATAGGGTTCGACACACGTGGGCAGTGATCTTTGACCCTCGGCAAGGTAGCACTCGCCTTCGGTGCGCGCTACACACCTCGGTACACACGGGTCAAATAGTACATTTCGACTCATATGATTTGCATCACTCGCCTTCGGCTCGTGCTGCAAACTCATATTCGCCAGAAAATTTTTCATGCGCCCGTGTGTCGAATAATATTTTTTGTCACGAGGGTCGTAGGCAGTGTTTTAGGCAGGTGCGCCTGCGGCTTGATCCGGTATACTGATAGAAATAAAGATTCTATAAAATTTAAAAAAACTGTCACAACCTTCGCTATACAGATTGCGGCAAATCGGATCATTTTTGGAACAAGAATGGATAGTATTCCGAATAATTTATTCGGATTGTCCTAATCAGCTACCAAGATGGGGAAAATTTGCTCAGTTAACAAAATTTTGGCAATGTTGATCATTGATTGTAACGAACTCGAATGACTTATTCTGCGAATTATTCATTCTTGCCTCAAGAATCTCCCGAATTGCTCTAATCTTTCAACTTTTTCGACTTAATGGTAGAAAACTATGTTTTTTGTCAATGCATATTTCTCCTTCAGACCGAGGTTATCAATAGGAATGTTCATTGTGGCATTGCACCCCGGAGGCCAGGGTTGGGCGTGTAAATTACATTGGTAAATTACACCATTTTTTACCGATGTAATTTTTTTACATTTTTTATATTACTTCGAAAAGCTTGCAATTTTCGGTTATGAGAATGTTTTATTTTATTCCGATTGACGAAGACGTAGTATTAGACATATAAATGTCATAAAACATAGAATATTATATTCCGAGGACAGATAGTAAATCACAAATTTTAATTTTACTTTGTTCGGTTGGACCGCGGTTCTCGAGACTTGGGGCATAAAATATTATTAGGACCGTAAAACCGCGATTCTAACATCGATTCCCTCGGTTAAATCGCGGTTTCCGGACCCAACATAAAATATAGTACGTCACACGACGATAAAACAATTTTCTGACTCATGTGATTAAAATCCTCGCCTTCGGCGCGGATGATAAAGCCACATTCGTCAGAAAATACGCTCATCGCTTGGTGACATAATGTACTGTTAGATCATGTGATACGATTTACGGCATTTTTAGAAACTCAAAAACATGAGCCTCACACCTCGTAAAGAGTAAATTTGTAGAGGGTCAAACGTCCCAAAAGACCAAAGTCCCAAGTCATCTCCCTTGTGTGAAAGCCAATCTCATTGTCTATTGAGCTTTATTGGGTTCTCCACTTTATTATTTGGAGCCCCGGAGAGGCCCAGTTAGATCTGAAAAGAACCATTTTGTTCTGAAGAGTTCAAAGCAGCTACAAAAGACAATTGAATTAGTTTTGTCATTTAAGAAAGCTGAACGAAACAAGTTAATATCAAGACAAAAGAGGATGATGCGACTAATTCAATAGAGCTTAATAAATAATGAGATTGACCCTTGTAAAATTCATCCCTTACACGGTATGACCCTTACGAAGTGACCCTCGCGACGTATGATCCTCGCAAGCTATGAAACTCGTGGCTTTTATCGCCATCGCGAGGTATAATCTTCGCGAAGCTTCACGGTTTACCATAAAAGGCAACAGCGGCTGTTTTTTTACAATTTTTACATTTATTATGTAAATTACGGGTTTTTTTTTACAATATTATGTAAATAACTGCGGTTATGGACAGATGCCCAACCCTGTCGGAGGCATTTTCATTGGTGCAATTTTAATGCAGGAGAATTGTATATTGTCAGAATATACTCGGGAGATCCGATACTGGGCGGAGATAATGTTGGTGGGCTTATTATACTGACGGAATTATAATTGGTTCAGTTGTTCCAATAGTTCCACCAAAATTCCATTACATATTATATATGTAAGAGACACCACAATGATGTTTATCATACCAAAATATTCTTTCTGAGGAAATCCAAAATAATATAGAATTTCACGACGGAGGCAATGCTCAAACTACGAAAATTGCTCCTCAATTGTCTGTTTAAACAATGCTGTTTAAAAGAGAATTGCAATTTTTATGTTTTATCTCTCATATCTTTGAATGTTTACGCCATTTTATTACCGAGCTGTTGTTGAATTGAATAATACTCTTTTGCTTGCTGCAATCGAATTAGGCGGGCTACACACCACTGCACGTGGCATGCCACTTTGGCCAAGCAGCAATGGTGCGTTTCTTATTGAGAAATGGAGCTGCAGTTGACAGTGGTACTGGAGCTGGCTACACACCACTCCACCAAGCCGCTCAACAGGGCCACACGTTAATCATCAATCTACTACTGGAGAGCAAAGCTAAACCCAATGCAGTCACAAATGTAAGTTCACTCATTTACATTTGCAAATTAATTTGCTCTTATCTAGTGCCTATCAATGAACTATTTTCATTTTACATATTCAGAATGGCCAAACAGCATTGGGGATCGCGCAGAAGCTGGGATACATCAGTGTCGTTGAAACCCTCAAAGTTGTCACGGAAACTGTCATCACGACTACTCACACTATTACGATTGAGGAGAAATACAAAGTTCAAGCGCCAGAATCGATGCAGGAGACATTTATGAGCGATAGTGAGGATGAGGGCGGTAAGTGGCTGATTTGATTGAAAATTTTGTTAACCAGATGTTTCTGATTTAGTAAAGGGAATAGTGGTGAGAGGATTCAATTCTGCAACTTATTTTTTTAATTTCTGGATTATCTCGATAAGTGGTTTTAGGGGAAGAGTATGAATAATCTTGCCGAAGATGTCTTCTCACATTTGTTTTCTATTCAAACCGCTCATCTTCGAGATATCAGCAGAATTACCAAAATTATGAAGTTCGATTTGAGTCATTCTATTACTATTTCATTACTGAATTACTGTGGTGTATCTTCGTTAAAAGATTGAGTGATGTAAACTTGATATTTTTTACTAACGCTTCTGTGTTTATGAATTGGCAGTTACTGTTATTATTTTACGTGTCTAAAGGTGAAAGTTGAACTTAATTTGCATGAACTCCGACCGTATCTTTTATTTTAAAGCTGAACGATTTCAGTTTCCCTCGGTCGTTACTGATCCTCAGATAGCGCCATCGATTAGTTCCTAAAGAAGAAAAAGGAGTATATTTTCTTTTTCTGTCTTTTCTGAATTCTTCGAGCTGTTTCTTTCGTTTGAAAGGGCATGGTTCTATTTTTTTGATTTTCCTGTGTTTTTGATATTTGATTTTATTACTCAAAAATGCTTTTATCCATCAACGAGAAAAGAATAGCTGAGGCTATTAAAGAAACACGAAGATTTGGAAACACTAGATTATCGAGCTTACTACAAACAATGAAAAAAAAAAACAAAAAAAAAAGAAAAATTGGCGGTGAGCTTTATCCGATAATACAATGTAGGTGGTGATGAAATCGGAATGGCGGCCATGAATGTGTATGGACAACCGCCACACGCGCAACACGTGTATCTCCCTTCCTACTACCAGGGCCAAATGACCTACACCCGTAAGTTAATGCCAACTTCACTGTGTCTCGCTGTGTGTAGCCCTCCCCCCATGAGTCTATATTTTGTTACATTACTTTGTTCATTACCCATCGTCAACATTGCATAACTCAACATTGACATAGACATAGATTATCGTATGCTAGTCATGAGAAATTAGATGAATTCACGACATTTGAACTTTCTCCCCAAATGAATCACATCACTGAAGCTGTATGATTGGATTAATGGTCATTCTACGACTCCTCCTGGCTGCTCATCATCTAGACCACATGCAGAACCATCTCTATTATTAGTTTCGCCCCCCCCCCCCCCCCCCCATGATATTTCTATGGAGATATCTGTAGCAGTACAAGATTGAAAGACTCTCGAGAAGACACTGTGGGTCCATCTGCTTTCTTTCAACCCCTTCAATTGAATACGTCACATTTAAGTGATTCCTTCCCTTTATCTCTCTACTTCCCCCATTTAATTGGAGACTCGCGGAAGCTATTCATGGACTTTAATTATAGAGTACGACCTTGTGGACCGATCAGTCCCCCTTCGCTATTGAATTCACATCGTTTGAACATTCCGAGTGCGAATACTCTCGTATAAAAAATGGGTGAACATTTCTATTAAGTTTGTACCTAAATAGAAATGTGGAAGCTTGGAATTCAAAATTTGAAGCGAAGTTGACATTGACAGGAAAATAATATTCCATTAATGATATTTCGTTATCTTATTGACGGTCAAAGAAAAGACTTCCGATTACTTTCGTAATGACTAATGGAACTAAATGTTTTTTTTATTACCTTATTATTAAATAATGATAGTGACAACAATTTTTATTACTCATTTAGCCTCTAATCTTAACAAAGAATTCGTTTGTTCAATTAATGGGCAATAGAAATGGGACAATTTTTGGAAGAAAGCGGGGGAGAATGGAATGCTCGGTGAAAATTAAAACCTCGATTTTAATCAAATTTGTGTCAAACATGATAAAATTAAAATTACAAAGCAAATCATTGATTCTCGGAAAATTGAGAACGGAATTTTCCCACAAACTCTTGAAAATGTCTCGTACGTGATTTATTAAAAAATCAGTGAAGGTGAGAATATAACTAACACGATAGGTCATAACAGTCAAAGGATCATAAAAGTCGACTGGAGAAGTTATCAGAACAATCAAATGGAGCAAACGAAAGAGTTCCAAAAAGATCATAAGAGTGAACCGGCAGCGTTAGTTTTATCGACAGAAAACCGTGTACTTTTCCAAAGCAAGAGTTGAGGCGCGTTGAGAGTCTCATACATAACGAGTCAAGTATTTATATCAGCGGATTTAACTTATCAATGATACTAATGTACCAATCTTTTATAAATACGTAATGGTGTCATCGACAATGATTCATACTCAATTTTAGTGGTTTTACAACTTCCTAGAATTAATGGAATCAATTCTGTAGTCGCGGAGACTCGCAGATTAAGCTCCTGCGAATTATCCCATAGATAATCTGGGACTGATGAGTTCGAGGAAAAAAATTTTTTTTTAAATGACCTCGTAAAACACTCGCTGTTATACAGTTTTCTCATATATTCTTACAAGCCTAGTCCTGTGCAAGATATTTTTGAAATAATCTCCAATTTTGTTTTGGTTTCATCTCTTTCTACTAGGAATGCGAAATGATGGTAATTTTTACATGCGTCAAGTCAGTTGTAAATTTACCGTTTTCTGACCATTTCTGACTTAACGCATATTTTGTGATGCAAACTGACCGGTCAACTTATCCAATCGTCAGTCATTTTTTCTCGTTGTCATTTATACTAAAAAATGGTCTATCTAGACGTAATCTGATCGTCATTTTTCCGTAATTTTTTTTCATTTTCTTCAGAAATTTGAATAATATTTCAAATAAAGCCAAAACGGAAATCAAAAATTTAGTGAATACTAGGGGGCTACGCCATCTGCTCGCTCCGCTCGCCAACCCGCATATGAAATCCATAATCCTTATTCTAACTCTTGTGACTCTTATTTTGACTCTCGTGACCCTTGCTCTGACCCTCATGACCTTTTTTTTACCCTTGTGACCCTTAATTGTGGAGTCTTAATTTCGGATACCAAATTTTTATCACCAGAAGTCGATTTGGAGTTTTATAATATAGAGAGATTACTTTAGTATGGAATTGTAAATAAAACAGAAAAGTTTCGTAGAACTTATTTTATTTATTATTATTGTAGAATCCACAAAGTTGAATGACAGAAAAACAGTCGAATACAACTTTTCATTGCAGAAGCGATGTCGTAAAGCTTTTCATTTAAGAACTAATTAAAGAAGTTTGGAATCTTAAATATTTTTTAACTACATTGAACAGTCGTTAGCTGACGTCAGAGACTTGGGAAAAACAGTGGTTCCTGGTCATCGACTTCGACATTTTCAGGATCTTCGATCTGATTGCTTTTGCCAGCACTTGATTCACAATCCTTCTCCTCTTTTAAATCATCATCTTCTGTTCCTTAACCGTCATGATCCTCAGAAATATCAACTGCAACTTTCTTCTTCAATGCGAAAGCTGTCGCTCTCGCGAATGTGGAACTAATTAGGGGGAGAAAATTCGACTAGATGTAATGTGACTGCCAAGATTTTTTTGCCATTTTTGTGACACGAAATCTCATCACTTTTTTTCTGACCAAAAATGGTCAGTAATTGGCCTTCGGTCAGTGGGTGTAATTTACGTGTAAAATTACGATAAATTGACCGGTCAGCTTTGTCCGTTACATCCCTACTTTCTACTATTCGACTACTGAACTGCAATGACCGTGCTCCAAAAGAGAACATTGTTCCCACCGGTAGGCCAGTGCGCCAAATAATTCTTTCAAATGTCAACATGAACTCGATGGAGTAATTTTTCAAACTGAAAAATGCACGTCCTCCCTGAAGAATTAGAGCGACACCTTAGGAATTACCATAATTTGCACATTGAGGACATTAAGTCCATCAAGAATATCAGTAGCTCAGGGTTGTGAACCTAATTATCCTAAGACACTGTCACTCGCTGTGGTGGGAAATTAGGTACGTCTGCATCTGACACACTGAAGACGTTTCTTGTTGACCACGCGGTGTCACAAAGCCCTCCAGTTGTTGTGACGATATCAACAGCATAATAGACACATTTGTTGCCCACACCCGTTAGCTACCTGTTACATAATCAATCGTCGTGCTGCCTTGTAGCCTTGTTCCATGGTTCTTATTTTGCAGTGTAGTTAGTTCGATGCGAGAGCTGGCCGACTGCCAAACGCACAACTGTCGACCGAAATACGTTAATTTATGTAATCCTGTGTAGTAGTGGAGCTTTACGAGGGAGTCGATTGAAGAAACTGGAGAATATTAACAAAAAAGAAAGAAATAGGGATACATTAGTTCACATCATCAGCTGTGTAAACCGATTCATTTTTTCGCAGAGTTGATTGAAAATTAATTAAGAATAAATGAGCAGTGTGTTATCGATGCTTATGCCTTGAGTTTAACAACAGGAATGCGGTGGGGAATAGTTTAAAAATTCATTACCATCGATGGGTGGGGGTGGAATATAGTATGAGAAACGGCGCCGACTCAACGAGAGATGCTATTATAAAATTGGTGCTCCATGAACGTGAGGTCATATTACTAGCCGTTCGCCTGATCTTGAATCAATCTTGGATTGGCTCAAGTCGCTGTTCCTGATACCCATCGGGCCATACGCAGGCGTCATAGCTGGAGGTTTTTGAATACCGGCTCGAGTGGTGTTTGATATGTGCTAACAGAAGTATCTGTCGATTTGAATTGAAATCATTTCTTACGAGTTTCATCCGTGAATTTTGTGAATCGCATACTGATTCCTGACTAAAAAGTGATTTGTGCAGTTTTCTTATTAATATAAGTCTCCGCGTATACTTTTATTTCTACTTTTGTACGTTTTCTAAGTTATTATTTTTGTATTGTTCGGTGTCATTGACAGTTTAAATTAACAAAAATTCCACGAGATTGTCGTTGACGTTGTGACTTCATTAATTGAGAAAAGGGAAATATAAACACCATGGCCAAGGACAAGGCCGTGAAGACTCGGAAGAAGTCAAAGAAGATGGCTTGTTGTGGATGCACTCGCAACAGGAACAGCGACGTTTTTTGTAATTAGAAACATGTGAAATTATCACGTTTTAACATTCACACAATCGTTGCATTATGTCAAGCATGACGCAATAGAACAGAAAAAAGCGAATTAACGCTACTCATTCAATGCATTTAGCTCAGCACTGTTATTACAGGCATTATCGAAGCAAATATCTCGAAAATATAAACGTTATTTCAGAGGTGAATAAAAAAATTACCCGCCAAGTTGAATTATTCTGGGATTATCAAATGGAATTAGTGTCAATAAAACCTGCAGGATCACTGCTATTTTGAATTTTTAACTGATCACACATAATGATACTTCCTCTCTACATAATATGTAATGGGTTACTTACTCGTAATTTGATTACATCATGTTCTTTAAGGAGCGCGTCACCGTTAAAACGAATGAAGGAAGCGATTGGTATTCATATCTAACATCTGGGTCAGGTAGCTTCTGCAACAGTGGTAGATCTCACGATGCCTATGTCGTTACGTGCAGCTTCACACACACACACACACACACACACACCCATTATTACGTTTCATGAAACATTTAATATCAATTAGAGAGATCAACCTTGCCCGTAAAATCAAGAGTAGAATCTACCAATTAGCAGAGTCTCAGTTTCTTTTTCAAGTTTACGGTCTACTAATAATGCAAATCCCAAAGATTATAGACTATTTTTCATATTTTGTTATTCATCAGATTACACGGTTTTAGTATTTTACGACCTTTACGGCGAACGCGATTGTGAATAGAATAAGAAAAACAGAGGAATGTGAAAATGTTACAGAGCCATTAGTCCAGATGATCAATTATTAATTCCCGAGAATAACAAATTCGAAATGAATTTGGAGATTATTTCGAAAAAATCTCACATGGGTGGTAATTCAGATAAATCTTCAGAAATATTTAATGAACTGTTGGAAATATCCCCAGGAATATTTCCAATATAAACAATATAAATTTTTTTATGGAATGAGATGTCAGTCAAAACGGGATCAACAGATGGGTTTGGAAATATCTCATAAATAATGAAGTGGAAAAAAAATAGACCAAGGACCTTTGTTGTAAAGTATTTTTTTAATTACCGGAAAACTTATTTCCCAGAAAATCATCGAATCAACAGCGACTTTATATTCGACTAAAAAAAGACTATTACTTCAGTCACTTGAATCACTTCAACAGTAGTTGCAGTTGATCAATTAGTTCTCATCAAAAAGATAATATCGTGGATTAAACGATAAAGAAAGCCTCCCAGAGGACAAAAAGTGCTTGTGACTTTACCCTTGAACATTACGAATAGAATAAGAGAAGTACATTCATCAGTTTAAGTGTACTTTTGCGTTCTACAATTTTTTTTCATCGTTTTTGCATAATGTAAACTATGACGCACTACTAGCATTCACGAGAATCTTGGTCAACTGATTGTATGTGCCAAGTTTTACGTATGGAGAGAGGAAATCATTTACGGTTGTGAATAGTAAATTTGGCCTAAAGAATTTTACACATGTCCATGTGACCAATTTGAAAAGCATAACAAAATGTCAAGCGCGTAGGCTTCATTTGAGAAGATTCATGCTGGGTCAATTGGACAATCCACCATTACTGTTATAATACTCACATTCCTGACCTATTCGTTAATCTCCCAATTCTGTCCGTGGAAATCCCATTAAATTCGTTATGATGAGGGCTTTTTTTATACGTTATTGGATACAAATAACTGTTCTATATTTGCCTAGAAATTCGGCACGGTTATATTAAGCTGATGAGAGAGATGATGTCATGTAAACGATAGCCCCGAAAAAATCCAGCATATGCAATCTCCGTTTGTTTTCCTAAATTTTCAATGGTGCTTGGAAGGAAGTTGTTGTGGATGAATTGCGGAATCGGGGCAGGGTAATCAAATAATTATAAAATCAAAGAGATGAATATGCTGGCTGTTCCGATATTGCGTACATAGACTCCACAAAGTCTCTAGTATTTCATCTCCTGAGTTTCATTTTTGATACTTTGTAGAAATTAGTTTGTCTCATTGCTTTTTCCATGTCACTTCGAATCAGCGACTCCAAAAATGACATGCCCATTGTTTTATACACATCTTAGGAATGAGTGGGTTTCGAAGTATTAATCAAGGCCCATTTTTATTAAAAAGAAAAAGTCTTGTCGCGAATTCCGCTAAACCCACTCGATTCTCAGATATTCACAGGATAATCTCCTTGTCATTTTTGGAATTATTTTACTTCATACCTTTACTGAGGAACTTCATAATGAAAACTCTAACAGTCGTGTTAACATTCAATGTTTCGATGTTATCATAATCATGATGTTTTATGGAAATTTTTTTGTCATCATCTTTTCCTCGCCGATTTTTTATTGATCATTGTTCTAATGATTTTTGACGTGGTACTTACAGGCGAAGATCCGATGCTCAGCGACCAGCAACAATATCGTTATATGACTGTTGATGACATGAAGTCAATGGGTGACGATTCAATGAGGGTAAATGTTACCGACGATGAGAAGGACAATCGACATTCCGGAGGTCAGTCCATTAAGTCTCATTACAGCTATTAATCTTCTCACGTTCAAAAATCTTATGGAATTTTTCGTTTTTTCTTCATCTTGTTCATTCTTCACCTAACACGTATGAAAAAATCGTATAGAAATTTTCTATATGGATTGCGTATAGAATTTTTATAGGATTTTCATATATGATATTCGGATATTTTTATACGGATATTTTTTATGCAAATTATTTCTATACGATTTCTATAGGTTTGATCCTATACGAGCCACTGCCACATGTATAGAAACATTTCGTATGGAGTTACGACATTTCTCAAACAAGTTATTTTTCTTTCAGTGTATGAAAACAAAAATTTATGTAAAAATGTATGGACAGAAATAATTCGTATAGAAAATATTCGTAAAAAAATATCCGAATATCATATACGGAAATCTTATAGAATTTCTATACGCAATCCGTATAGAAAATTTCTATACGATTTTTTCACATGTGCAGCTGTAACTACACTGAGAAAAAACTATATTTTTGCCAAATATTCATTTACTTCAGAGAAGGACTTAATTTTTCAAAACCATATTTCTCTAATCGAGTCATTCCCAGGTGAGCCTGATTAAGTTGCAATTATGACAATCGTGTTGCTCTAGAGGATGATTATGTTGCAGACGACCTTGGATGAACTCATCTAATGATTATTCATTTTTCCTAAATTTATTATTTTCTAGAGGGAAGAATTTCGATTAATTTTTTAATGTTTATAATTATTGAGGGAGTTCACTCAAGGTCATAGCTAACATGATCGTCTTCTAGACCAATATAATTGTCATAATTGAAACGAAATGAGAATTTCCTGGGAAGTATTCGACTGGAGAAATACGGTATTGAAAAAATGAATACTTCTCTCAAGTAAATGGATATTTGGTAAAAATAATTTTTTTTCTCAGTGTATTCTTAATTATTTTCATCTATAGGAGTCAGCGTTACTGACATGGTGACCAAAGAGACCTATCAGCGTACCAATGCCGCAAATCTCAAGCCTGACAACGTAGACATTCACAGACATCCGGTACACGTTGGGTACGTGTTCAAATTTTTTTCATTGAATACAATAATGAGTTTAAGGAGGTAATAAATCCTTGTGCGAAATTTTAAGAGTTTTGGATAATTATCTATAAGGATGTTATAATGGAACTAGATGAAATTCGAAACAATATTTTTTGTATTATAGAGTGATTAGGGGTATGAATGAATGTGGGAAATATATGAGCCTAACAAATTGAATTATGTTGGGAGAGTATTCAAATTTTTAGTTTTCATAGAATTAACTAGAGAAGTGGTAGAAAAGGCTAAACAAAAAATGCTTGATAATTGAGTGATGAGGAAAAATAATCAAAAGGCTTTTTAGAGTCACAAAAAGAAGTCTTGATACTTTTTCCCGACTTCCAGTCGGGACATCAATTCTCCGAATGCTCCAGAAAAATCCTAGATTATATTCTGTAGATTCAGCATTGTTGATGACAAGGAAAAAAAAAATTTTTACCACTTCACTACCTAATTTGGCACGCGATGAATTGATAAGACATTTTTTTTATACTAGCACAAAGTATTAACTGATATGAATCTGACGATTTTTTTTACTGAGTTGGAATGTGTGTGTAACCTGGCATGAATTAACATATTTCTATCCTGCTAAAACTTGGAAATTGCTATTACAGAACCGTTTATTCTTCGTCTTGAAAGAACGCAAGCGAAGAAATGAAAATTTTGCTAGTCATTCTGAATAATATTGAATTAAAAATAAAATTAATGTGCTGTCGACGATGAAAATAATCCATCAGTTGTCTAGTACTAGAGTATGAAAACGTGCGATGCGTGAAGGCTTTAGCCTACTAGATATTCTATGGTGACACTATACTGTTTTATGCATAGAAATAAGGTAGCCATTGCTGGTCAAATACGACCACGCTCAATCCCGTTGCGGTAAACTGAGTTCATTGAGAGTTCCTCCCGTAAAGTTAGTTTCATTCAGTAAAATTCTTTCCACGGGACGGAAAGAGTGTCTTCTATCGTCAAAGGGGGGGAGGAGGCGCTGAGTCTTATACAGTATTCCCTAACATACGCTCCTCTGTGCTACTCTTTGTGCTCTACGCCTCGTGAATAAACGCGTTTTCCCAGTAAATCAGAGTATAATCATGATAATATAAATTTGTATATTTTTATAGTGAAACGCGATGTACGCGAAATGTAGTTTGCCATTTATGATTCACGTTGTCTTCCGTGGATCGTTAGTTTTTCGGTATCCAGGTTGAGAAGAAATTTTAGTACTTATCATACAAGCACATTAGAAACATTCATCTGAAGTGTCTGCAGTCATCATCGCCGCTATGTTGTAAGATTTTTTTTACCCACTGCACTGTAGTTTGGTCATTTTTTTTTTGGATTTTCGAGTTGTTTTTAGTAGAAACGTGGTGAGAGAAGATGAGTGAAACATTTTCCATTGATTTTTTTGCAAACATTTCTGAAAGTAGTGGATTTTGAGATAAATCTGAGATACTATTTTTCGAATAGGTTTTTTTGACCATTATAATTATTTTCAAAAGTCGGATGACACCACAATTTTTATTGTTAGAGCAATAGGTTTAATTTGTTCGATTTGTAATGATTTAGAACGTTAGATTCATAAAAAAGCCCCTGATGAGATCTGCTCTGGAAGACGAAACGTTGGGCAATCACAAAGAATTCTTCAACTTCAACTTCATTTCTACGTTTCCAAAATTGCTAAAGAACGCTTAGGAGTTCTAGAGAGTATGCTTTTGGAGATACTATTTTTGTGAAGAAAAAAAACAATTAGACACAAGATCTCTGAATGAATTTCTCTGAATCTCTTTCTTTCAAAGATATTCGCAAATCCGTTTGAAGCTCATCTCCCCTTATTACTTAATTACCGAATTAGTTTGATGTTTATTGACAAAATTATTTTGTGCACGAATGGAAGTTGACGATTTCACGAAACGTTGGGAAATCTCGACTGTTAAATTAGAGAAGAGAGTGGAGAATTATAAAAAAATTGAGCATGAGCACGGTTGAGAGACAATTACCCTACTATAATTATCACGGAATTCTGTTCCAATACTTAGACTGTCACTAGAGTTCTTAAATTCGTCGCTGGCAGCCCTTGGTAGCCATTCAAAAGGACAAGGAATGTGGAGGGACAGGTATAAAAATCAATTTTTATCACTAAATTAATTGTTAATCTTTTTTACATTTTCGGTCAGTGGGTTTCAAAAGTTTTTAATTTATTGTTTATTTATTTTTTCTAAATTAATCTTTTGTTTAATCACTGGAGTGTTTCTAAATTTCTAAACTATCTTTCACATTTTTACTCGATTAATGTTAACAACCGCAAATTACTCATTTGATTTAATTGGATAGTATTGAAGTAATAGAGGGTAATCCTAAATAAATTATTAAACATTTGAGCAATGCAAATGAATAAGTGACGACTGATACCTGAGAACAGAATAGTGAACGGTAAATTCCCATCAAGATGCTATGAAAGTCTGGAAAGAAAACGCATCTAGTGGCTGTCAATGTATTGATATTATATATCGTTTATTTACTTTTTGTTTTTCATTGAAGTTTAAATTTTACATCTATGTGTACTGTTTTTGAGCTTACACAGTGTATCCCGATAATCCTGATTCACCTCAAACAACTGTGTGAGTGAAGTGCTGCATTCCCAAATCTCTACTATAATACATTATTATTGTTTTGCTCGAAGATAGAGAAAATATATATAGCGCTCTCCATTGATTATCCGAGAACAATGCAGCGCCTAATGATGTGGAAAAATATGATTTGGCACATAGGTGAATATTTATTGACGATAAAGTTCCAATCCCACTGAGCAATTGAAAACAATCCCTCCATTTCGAAAATTTCTAAGTGTTTTTTTCAAAAGAAGAAAAACAAATACATTGATATTTTTTAAAATAAACATTAGGCGTAACATCGTTCAATTATAATCATTGGAATGATCCACATATATTGGTTTTTCGCATCATCAGAAACCGAAAAAATTTACAGACAAAATTCAGTAAACAAAGCCTTGAACTCAATTATATTCCAATTCCAAAAGATGTTAACGAGATTCTTCTGCGTCTCGAGTCAGAGAAATATACTAACGCGTGATTTTTATTTTGTTTCCGATCCTTTCTGTTATTTTATTTACGCTACTCGCAGAATTCCACAATGGAGAAAGTAAGTGAACATGTCTTGAATTTTTCTCCTACGCCTAATTTCATTATACATATTTTCTGTTATGGCAAAGAGAAAAAGAGAGAGAGAGAGAGAGAGAAAGATACCTCTGTAATCGTTCACACAGCCGTCACATTTTTATATTTTGTATGTTGCTCGCTCTGTACCCATGGTCTTTCTTTCCAATAGAGTAGAGCTTGATTAATGGTATTTCACTTAGTTATCATTGTTATTCATAATAAAATGGTATAAGGGCGAATGAATTTACAATGGCAAATTGATTTGCTTGCTTCCGTTGAAGGCGTTTAGAAATCACATTTGTTGTATCTTATTTAATTTAAATTATTATTTATGTATAAGAATATGTATCACCAAATGATTCGGCTCGCTACATGCAATGTGCTAATAGTAGTAGTTGGTTCGGCAATGTTAATTTAACGTTCATCACTGAATCATCCGCTTCATCCAAAAATATTCTTCGTATCACAATTCAAAGCGTCACAACATTGAACTTGAATCTGTCTTTCGATAACACCAAATTACCAAAGCACAAAATAAAGAGAATTACACATAAAATGCACGGAAAAGGAAAGAGAGGATATGTCAATACCACAATGATGCATAGAGACGACACTCTTAATAGGAAATCACCGTACACACATTTAATTATAATATTCCGCCGTAATATCGCTTGAACATTAGCTGATTGTTATTTTTCCCCTACTCACGTTGGCCGGAACGTTATACGTTAATTACTTAGCGCATTTTAACGAACTAACGATGTCATTTCTATTGGTGCTATTTATTGAGCAAATATATTAATAGACACGGTACATCATGTTTAAATAGCACCAATAATCCGTAATGACTTCATGAAGAACAATCATATAGTTCAATATTTCACATTATTTTTTTGTAGAGAAGTGATGGAACGATTTGAGTCGATATAACTCATCTTCTTAGGGGCAACTACTATGATTTTTAAAAATCGCGGGCAATTGGAGTGAGATTTCTCATGCATTGAAGATCGATTATACATGTCTGAAAACGAATGATTAGTTCAAAAAAATTAATTGTTTATTGTTCGTTTGCACCGCACACACTAATAATGTTAAAAATAGTTCAGGGCCTCCAATTGGTAAGCTACAAAGGTTTTTTTTTAACTTTTGAAGAAAATGTGTACAATAACAATTACAAATTAATTTTTTGAAATTCGACTCCTACTCAGCTAATTTCGTTTTGTTTAATATACAAATTTGCGCCATTTATGTTAAATAGACAAAAAAATTATCCTTAAGGCCCGGGTGGATTATCAGTTATAATGCCCCGAAACCTTCAAAATTATCGGAATATTTCCCGATAGCTTCGTTGCAAACAAATGAAAGTGTCAAGTTTTGCAAACTAAAAAAACTTGACACTTTTGTTTGTTTGCAGGGAAGCTTGAGCGAAATATTGCGATTGATTTTGAAGGTCGAGAGGTATTTGGCGGCGAATTTTCTGGGACTGAATTTTGGCCAAGCGGAGCGCAGTATTCGAGGACTTCTTCCAGCAAAACATCCAACTGGTTAGAAATAAATGAAGAGCTAGTATGCAATTATCAGATGCAATTTCCAGAAGCTAATGTGCAATTTCCGCAAAAATTTGATGACAAAAGAGTATCGTGATCTCGAATACTGCGCTGTGATTGGCTAAAATCCAGTCCCCCGGAACATTCTCTTTCGAACGTGATCTTAGTTGTTTTCGTTTATTTTCATAATCTGAAATGATCTCCAATTGCAATACAGTTTTACGTAGCCCTGGGTCTCCAAAAATTATGATTGTACAATCAAAAAAACGTTGGAAAAAAGCTGAACATTTTCAGAGAGCGTTTTTGTATAATATTGGAAATAAACCCAATAGGGAGGAAATTGCAAATTAATAATTTGATGTATCTAATGGCTGTTAGGTCGTCATTTGTCACAGTAGTCAATGGCTGTCAGATCGTTAGTTATCATGATAAATTATCCATTCACTATTTCCTCTCTATCGGACTTATTTTTTAATCTTTATTAAAAACGCTCTTTGAAAATGTTCAGTTTTTTTCTATTTTTTTTTATTGTGCAATCATAATTTTTAGGGACTCCTGTGTGATGTAAAATCCAATGGAAATTGTGATATACTTTACGTTATGAAACAGATTTTTTTTTAATTTTGAAAATAAAACCTCTGTACCTCAAAAATTACAGGCCCTGGACTATTTTGAACATTTTAAGCGTCTGCGGGGCAAACGAACATCAAACAATCAATGTTTTGCACCAATTACTCATTTTTAGACATATATCAACAATCTTCAATGTATGAGAAATCTCATTCCGATAGCCCGCGACTTTTAAAATTCACAGTAGTCTCCCCTTAATTCTTTTTTGGATTATCTTCGTAGTAAGCAATGTTAGAAAAAATCGTATAAAGAGCTTCTACGTAGAGGATTTAATCAACTACAGGAAAGGTCTTATGAAATTTTTTCCCAACACAGCTCAGTTCATACTTAATCGCCTAGTTGATCATTTGGTACTCAACTCCACTCGTTTCCTACCACTTCGCTAGTCATTTGAATATTTGGTGAAGACAAGTAGTGATGAAACATTCTTATCGAATTTCGGTTCTTTCAAAAGAAGATTCGAAATCTTGTTGGAATGTTCTAGAGATGAATGAAAACATAGAAATGGTAATTTCAACTGGTCTTGAAACTAAATCGAAATTTTATTCGACACAACATATTACCATCACGAAAAATGTGTTCCAGTCAGGGTGCGGCTTGTTTCCACCCCGTTTAATCAAGATTCTATTAACTACAACTTTTTTTTTCACTTAGTAAAATGAGAAGCTGAACCTCTATGTATTTCAAAGTCGCCTCCTGTAATGATTAATACAGAACTAAATCAGTAGAATAATTCTACATATTTTTTGTTTTTGCATAAATGTGCAGAAAATAAAATGTTTCTTTAAATGGATGAGTTATATAATTTCGTTATTATGGTATACAGCTTCCTGGTTTCTTTTCTGGTGGATGCACGTGGGGGTGCGATGAGAGGATGTCGACACAGTGGTGTGCGTGTTATTGTACCACCGAGAAAGGCAGCTATGCCGATGAGAGTCACTTGCAGATATTTGAAGAGGGATAAGCTAACAAATCCGCCACCTTTGATGGAGGGCGAGGCGCTTGCTAGTAGAATTCTTGAACTTGGTCCAGTTGGCGCCAAGTTTTTGGGGTATAGTGATGATTGAATTACTCTGATTGATGACTTGGTGACATTTTTATCCATTTTTTATCTCATTCTATTTGCACTTTTCAGGCCAGTGATTATTGAAGTTCCACATTTTGCATCACTTCGGGGTAAAGAACGGGAAATTGTAATTCTACGATCGGATAATGGAGAAACCTGGCGTGAGCACACCCTGGAGGCCAGTGAAGAGGCCGTACAGGATGTTCTAAACGAGAGCTTTGAAGGAGAAGGTACGATTCTACAGAAGTCTCGAAATTCGGGTTCGCAGTGACGAACGAATTAAAATCAATTCTTAAGGAAAGACTACTATGAGTTTTAAAAGTCGCGGGCTGTTAGAGTGAAATTTCTCATGCATTGAAGATCGATTATACATGTCTAAAAACGGATAATTTGCTCGTTTGCTCCGCAGACACTTGAAAGGTTGAAAATAGTCCAGGCCCTCAATTTTTAAGCTACAAAGGTTTTTTTTTTCAAAATTGGTAGAAAACCATTCACTAAAGTAAACCTGTCATAACGTGTCCATTGGAGTTCTGTTCAATTCAATTATTCCTGACTGCCGAGTAATGGGAAAGTGTCAGGGTTTGGATCGGGAATAAGCACAGGAATAGTAAGCACTCACTGAACTGAATGTAAAGTTCATATAATTACCGGATTAACTAAGTACAATGAGATATCGCGATGTAAAGAAAAACTCAAGAACTCGTTATACAAAATAATAATTCAACTTCAAATGATAACGTTTTCATTCTCTCGATAATACGTGATTTTATTGCCCGTGGCTTACGTCTGAATCGTTCGACGGATCAAACATGCCAAAAACTGTCCTTGCCGAAACTATATTATATTCTATTCTACAGAAAACGAACAATAAACAATTGATTTTTTGCACTAATTATTCGTTTTAGGCATATTCAATCGATCTTCAATGTATGAGAAATCTCATTCCAATAGCCCCCGACTTTTAAAATTCATAGTAGTCTCCCCTTAAGAGGCGATGGAACTTACCATCGGAGTAGAAACTGGATTCCAAGTTTATTCGTCGTCAGACGACTATTCAACAAAACCCAAATTCTTACACTATAGATATCCAGATTATTGAGGATGTAAGAAATTGGGTTTTGCTAAATAGTCGTCTGACGACGAAAAAACGTGGAATCCAGTTTCCACTCCCATGGTACGTTCCATTGCCTCTTAAATTTTTGACAATGAAGCCCATCGAGAAAACTTTTTCAAAGATGAAAAAGGCTTATCATTTTAGACAGTTCCATCTGGATTCATACCTTATTAAGATGAATTAAAATTTCACTATGAAAAGAGAAGCCTAAATATTACCGATAAATTGCAGAATTGAGCCAGCTGGAGGATCTTCAGACGTCTCGAATCGTCCGAATTCTCACGGTAGATTTCCCCCATTACTTCGCAGTCGTGTCAAGAATAAGGCAAGAGGTTCACGCAGTCGGCCCTGAGGGTGGAACTGTTTCATCATCGGCAGTACCACAAGTTCAGGCAGTATTCCCACCTGCTGCATTAACGAAAAAGATCAGAGTTGGCCTACAGGTAAATATTTATCCACTATCAATTTGCATCTTCATGTTAAGTAATTGGGACTGTCTACGTGCGAAAAGCCGATATTAGCAGTTGAGAGTTGTATCAATAGCGAAGCGGTAAAATGGTCTAAGTCGATTTCCACTATTGCTTAGTTTTCAATGAATCTCGCGGAATCTGAGGCAGATAGCGGAATTTTTATTACAATCTTTTTTGTAGATCTCATTTTGCTCCGTAGAAACGGTTATTACGGAAATTTCGGTATCTCCCTTAGATTCGGAGAGATTTCTTCAGAACTCAGTTAAGAGCTAACTCGACTTGAATCATTTTACCGCATTGCTAATGATGAATACTCCAATACTCTTGATGAGATTCCATTTTCAACTGAAAAAATTGAGTCAAACAATTTGATGATACGTTTAACGTAAGGAAAATTAAAAAATTGATTTGAAGGAAATCTGTAATGTTTTGAGTTTTTTATTCACTACATTGTCGGACCACCCTTCTTCCCGTGTAGAAATTCAAGCGGGGATGCGGCTGAGCCTCGGCGTTCACGCGCTCGAAACGATCGCTGAGCTCCGGGTTATTAGATCTAGATGCAGTTGATCTTCCCGAGCAATCAATGTCGACAATGTGTCGTTCTTGTTCAAAATTGTAATGCTTAAGCAAAAATTGTTGTCTTGACAGAACGTTCCTTTTTTAAGCCTCATAAAAATAGTGGAACTCTTCACACAAAAAATTCATTTTTTTTTAACCGATCCCATAGAATGTGCAGAAGAAACTTATAATATTTTACGCAGCTCGTTATGAAGTGTCAATACAATGCATTTCACAACAGCATCGAAAATCAACAGAAAATGCTTTGCTAGGGCACTTTGAAACGAAAACATAAAAACTCGTGATTTTCCTGCAAATATGAGAGTAGATCAATAGTAATCCGATTGAGGGTTCATCATTCTCTTCACTTCCTGTCATATATATTCTATTACGTATCAATCTCAAATGGTTTCATTGACTGATAAATTGATGAAAAATTTGGCGTCGGCTTACGCGGTCAGTGGCAGACCAATTTTTGGTCCGAATGAAAGCTTTGTAATCATTCAAATTTAAGTTTTGGATTTTTTATGTTGTATCGGCCTAGTATGATCCAAAAAGTTCGAAAATGCAATTTTTAGACCTCGTCCGTACGTGTGTGTATGTGTGTACGTACGTAACAAAGTTTTTCTTCACTTGTCCGCTAATTAATGAATGGATGAAGGTGAATTTTTTTTCGAAAGTTATTCATGGTATTGTTCATGCTATTATTCATAGTTTGAGTCCTATCAATCGCCATTAACTCGTCAAGCACAGCGCCCATATCGCGCGGTATGTCCTCATCGGCCAGCGGCCTCCCGTCTACTCGTATTCACTGTTCAATACGCAAAAATTTCTACACAGATGATCAAAAAATTGTTATCTAAAATTTAATGATAATCTTGAGCTTTCACCAATAAATTATTCAATTACGGTATTCCTTTATACAGATTTTTCTGGAATTTTTAAGACGAATCCCAGTTTGATAGTAAAAATGGTTGCCAAGGTCGACGATTGTCGTAAATTTGTTAATAAAAAATCAGTAATTCATTGGATAGAAATTTTATTTACGCCATTTGACAAAGGAATGTATAGAGTATGTTCAGTAAAAATTTCAGAATTTTTGATGAAAGCTAGCTCGATAAACGAGAGGTTTGAATATGCATCTGACATTGAATTCAGGTCCGTATTATTTACGTATTGAAGAAATAGTATATTTCTGTACTGCTTCTCACGATTTCTCGTCTGGGAATTGGTATTGCATACTTCCCAAACTCGAAAACTTGAAAATCACCACAAAAAAATCTTGTCCCGGGCTGCTGCGATGGGGTTTTTTTACTCGTGTGGTTGGTCAGTCCTCGCCTTCGGCTCGGCCGCCAACGCCACACTAGTAAAAAACCCCATCGCAGCAGCCCAGAAAAATACTATTTCTTCAAATACGAGTATCGAACGATATTTTTCATCACAATGTGTGGAAAAAGGACGTTTTAGGCACGCTTCGCTTAAAAAAGTTACTTTTTCGCACAGCGTGATGAAAAATATTAAAAATAACTTGAAAAAAAAAATCGAATCGCATTGTGTTGATAATTTTATCTGTTTTATGAGGAAATTTCTAGACTTTCGATCTCTACAATAGTACGAAAGTCAATGAATTTTTATTAATCACGGAACGGGTCTATATGACATAGACGCCGGTCGGTAGGACAAACTCTCGGGTCTATAATGACATGGACACCGTACTTGAGGGGTTAATTGAAACTTAATTCATCGATTACTTTTTTTACTTTTCCAATTTTTTCGAACATCGATTGTCCTCCGATAATTAAGAAAAAATATATTCTGAATTGATTGAATTATGGCTTGAAAAGTTTGTTTGGATGTCCTTTTGACCGAGTTCGAAGATAAAAGCGATAGAAATAATCGTTATTTTGATTTATTTGAAAATTTGAAAACATTTTTTTTTGTCATCATGCTCCAAATGAATTCAATCATAGCTTACAATGTTTGTTTCAATGCCATTAAGTCGAAGTTAAAAGATAATTACGATAGCTACATTGGTTGATTTGATTTTTATGATTATTGTTGAAAATTTCGAATTTTTCATGAATTTCTTTGAACATGAGTATTCTGATGGTTTCCTCAAATGTGACGTTTTAAATACATTCAAGTATGTATGAATTAAATTTTTCTATTAACATTTTATTGAAGGGCTGAAGGGAGACAGAACCATAGGGAAGACAATCGGTTGTATAAAAGAAAGGGATAATAATAAGAATAATGATGATGATAACATTCAATTAAGTTGGAAATCTGACAAAATTAGTTGAAAAGAAATCTTATTGAATTTACTAAAACTAAATAAACGATGAATTATACATGATAGAAGAAAATGATCTGCAAAATACCCATTCGGAAGCATATTACAAATTTATTAGCAAAAATAACATTATATGCAATACAAGAGCAATTTCCCACTTGTTTTATTAGGTATGAATATTTTTCAATAAATACCCAGATCGAACAAAGACTTCCCCGGAATTTCTCCACATTTAATTGAATTTCCAAATTTATTTTCTGAAATAAAATTACAGGCTCATCCAATACCCGTCGAACTGGTAGCCAAACTTCTCGGCAATCGTGTGGCAGTATCACCAATAGTAACCGTCGAGCCTCGACGAAGAAAGTTCCACAAACCAATTACACTGACGATACCTGTACCTCAGGCAGCTAATAAGGGCATGATAAATCAGTACTCTGGGGAGACCCCGACATTGAGGCTGCTCTGCAGTATAACTGGTAATATATGCTTGCACGTAACAATGTAGGCGCAGCAACTAGGTTGGCTTAACGAATCTCTATCCATCAGTAAATTCATCATTACTGTCTCCTTGCTCTAGAACCAAAACGTTATAGTCATTTTGATTCAATAATGGAATTTCTTGATTACTGAATGGAGATTAGCAGAGCAAATAGTAGCTGCACTTCTCACCAATAAGACCATATAAATTCAATTGACATAACAATGAAAAAAGCATTAAATTTGAAAAACGGATCATGATAAAAAAAGTAACATATTATCGACTATCATTGTTGTATACATATCTTGTTGTGATTCATTGTTAATGCTTGCGTATTGTTTAGGATTGAGTCATTTAGGTATGGATCATTGATTAAATGTAGATAAAGAAAATTTGTTTTCTTTGATTTGAGATAAATTCTATTTTTAGCTCATTATGTGTTTCCTAACGCGATAGTTTTCATTTTAGCACAGTTAATTTGATAATTTGGCCTTTGCTTCGAATATATTTGCTCCAGTATCAAATTATGTATTGATGATTTTCCATTCTACACATTCCAAAAATTTCATTAGACTATTGCAGCAATTCAATCATACTAATTTTACGAGAAAGGAGGGTAGAAAGCCATGCTCATTCACTCATCCATTCTTTCGTCATTATCAAGTAAAGGATGAAATTTTTAAAAATCTCTTTGGAATAACGAAGATTGTTGTCACATCTGTGTTACCGTAATTTTCAACATTATTATCATTCCGCCCGCTTCAATAGCCACTCACACTCGCTGCTTTATAGGTTGGTGTATTTATTGTTATTTCTACCAAGAACTATCTTCATGTTATCATTTCGCAAGCCTCATACAAGTGAGTGACACTTTTATCGTTCTTGTTTTTTTCTTTTTTTTTTTGACATCAAATACCAAGCACATAACAATAAGGCACATACAAATAAATCTGAATTTAAATACAGTGAATGATTCCTCATTGCATTGAAATTTCTTATTATGGTGTATATGGATGTTTCCGAAGGAACATCTGTATTTAATATCAGTAAAATTGAATAAATATTTCTCACACGATTCACGTTTGCCGTCGAGCAGTATAGCATCACGGACATATTTTAATAATGTTATTGGACTTGGCATGTATGTCGTTCAGGGGGTCAGTCACGGGCGGTCTGGGAGGACGTAACCGGCTCAACACCTCTGCAATTCGTCAAGGATTGTGTATCATTCACAACAACCGTATCAGCCAGGTTCTGGCTGATGGATTGTCGAAATGTCACGGAAGCAACGAGAATGGCTACTGAACTCTATACGCATGCCACTCATGTTCCGTTCATGGCTAAGTGAGTTAACGCTCCATTTTAGTTTTGTGAATGGAATTTTTTGTCATGCTACCCCTGAGGAAAAGATCGTTTCGCCCGCACAAAAACATTTCGACTCCCAGAAAACCTAAAGGGAATTGATTTAGAGGAATTCTGAAAAACATTGAAGATAAAAATACATACTATTGCAGCTTATATGGGATATTTGTTTTTAAGGATGTCCAAGTACTTTGGCTATTTTTTCTCCAGTAAAATGCTCTTCTACTTTTGTAGTCGATTATCAGAGCTTTCATTTGAGCCCCATTTGACCCCTAGTTTTCGAACAGTTTACAATGATTTTATTATTTAGACTTTACAGGTCTGAATTTGAAATTCCATATTGAACCATTAGAAAATATTTTAAAAATCTGAAAAAAAATAGTTTATTTTTGGAGGAAAAACGATGAAATAATTAAAAATTGCAATTTTTTAAAATTACGAGCATTTTTGATAAATAATTTGTAAATAATCCATTTTCCACCATAAAAATCAGTTGTTTAGAATCGTCACCAATTTATTCATATTCAGAATTTTACCAGAAATCGATTTCATGCCTACATAAACAATTTCAATTATTTATTTATAAACTATGAATGTTTAAAAAACTAATAATTCTGTGAAAAATGTAGTTTCAATGTCGCCAAATATTCATGATTTTTTTCAAAAAATTTTTTACGCAATTTAATTCACAAATTTGCTGACTGAAAATGGTTGAATCTATAGTGTCGTCTGTACCAAACTGTAAAAGATACTTGGATATCTTTGATTCATCCAGATGCCATAGTTTTAAAGTGAATCTTCTCTATGAGAACGGATGATCCCAATTTTATTGTGATCATTCGTTAATTTTTATTCAATTTTGTACTCCACCAAAATGCAGAAAAAATGGTTTGAATAACATTTCAAGTGGAGAACAATTTCAGAACCATGAGAATTCCCTTTAGCCGTTGAGAATAATTGGCCCCAGTTCAACCATCAGATAAACATCACCAATACAATAACATAAATCTCATTTCCAGATTCGTTGTATTCGCTAAACGTGTAGATCCTCTCGAGGCACGTCTCCGCGTATTCTGCATGACAGATGACAAGGAGGACAAAACATTGGAGCACCAGGAGCACTTCACCGAAGTGGCAAAAAGCCGAGACGTGGAAGTCCTCGAGGGTAAAACTCAGTACATGGAGTTTGCTGGTAATCTCGTGCCAGTTCTGAAAAGTGGCGAACAACTGCAATTGCCCTTCCGCGCATTCAAGGAGAACCGTGTGCCGTTCACCGCGCGAGTTAAAGATCCAGATGCGGCTGACATGGTCGGTAGAATAATGTTCATGAGTGAGCCGAAGGTCGCCAAGGGCGAGCCGCCCCAGACGCCAATTTGCACCCTCAACATCCTCCTTCCCGAGAAAATCTCCCCTGACGCAGCCCACAGCGAGCTCGACCTCCTCGAATTATCAAAGAACTACAGTTTCTTGAGGGACGGGGGCATGAGCAGACCTGACACCATCCACCGGGCCACAATTCGTCTCACTGATATCGCTAATCTTCTCGATCGTGATTGGGAGAAGCTCGCCGAAGAAATGAATATTTCGCCCGGCGATGTGGAATTGATAAAACTGGAACATCCGGACAAACCGGCGCTTCAGGCAGCCACCATGTTTAAAATCTGGCAAGCCAACGGAAATAAAGCGACAGGTGAGATCCCCTCGTTCTCATTCAGAATTTTTTAAATTTGTTTCAAACCCGCATGCCTTGACTTTTAAATTTCCGAGAATGATAATGAAACAGGAAATAAACCTCTGTTTATATGAGTGTGAAAAATTAAAAATGGAAAAAATGGAGAATTCGCCTAATAATAAATCCGACACATCGGTGCAATAACATGTCCTTGGTCCCGATAGAGTCACTGTCCAATCGTATATCTCCTTCAGATGGAATTGGAATTCATTATCTATTTTTTGCCTCGTCAATCACAGCACAAATGTTGGGAAAAAAAATATTGATCTTCAAGCAGGTAGAGTAATGACGAATACTCTATGAAGTCGTTGATAAATAAAAATTGATGCGTATCCTCAGTGAGTCAGATGTCTGGAATCTCTGCAGAAGCGTAGTTTATGATCTCACTCCTCACTCCGGGCCCCGGTCATTATAATGCCTGTGGTGTAAACATGTGGCGGATTGTCTCCCTCCCTCTTCCCTCATCACTTCAACAGTGATTTCCACAGTTCCCTTCCCTATGCCACTCGTTGTCGCGCGTCTTCCATGCTAATCGCATTGCCACAATCGCGGGCCGCGTCAATAGCATTTAATTTAGGTGTTGAGAAATAAGAAACACTTGGGGATTCATGAGTATCTGCGCAGTTATTTTAACGTGAAGGTGCTTTTCTCCAGAAGAATTTCTTCTTAAAGTTATTTTAAGAAAGTTCTATCGGATCGTGATAAGTTGTTGAGGAAATCAATTTGACGATGTTCATAACGCTGTATCAGGCTTACGAAAATCCATTAGTCTCTGGATACACGAGTGAACTTCACTTATTGTTCAACAGAACTACATCTACGCGAGTTCGTCTAGTTCATCACGAAGGTTCGTTGAAGACGCTTGCGGTATTGTGATGCGAGAATTTTCTCAGACTGAAGAAAGTTTAAAGAACCCATTCCATAGTTTTCTGTTGAATTGATGAAACGTTTTAAGTCATTTCCATGGACAAATTTTCGTTGCTTCAAAAAAAGTCCTCTGACATCTCTTCGTAAACCCACTTATCTTCAAGACATTCGTATGATCGTAAAGAGGATTATTTGCGACTTGAATCGTTTCACCAATTCACTTGAAAATTTATTCATGAATCGTATATTAATATTTCCGTTGACTTCTTCTGCTCTACAGGGAATACGCTCGAGAAGGCCCTAAATAAAATTGGCCGTGAGGACATTGTGAAAAAGTGTATATTTAACGTTGAACTGGTAACTGACGACGTTGAGAAGGCGGTAGCAAGGGTCAGGCTTGATCAGCCTGGTTTTGATTCACTTAAAGAGGAGCTCGGACCATCCAGAGACTCGTCATTACGGCGAGATGGTACACTCTCAGATCGTAAAACCGATCTTGATTACGAGGAGCCGGACCGAATGAGAGTAAGTGAATGTTGTTGCTCTTGCACAGTCTATCTTAATTGTCAATTTTCAATCTTCGGGGAATTTGAAAAAATTCACGAGATTGGTTCACGGTTTGTCTTTGAAGTGACCTAATTGAGAGACGGCAGTGACACAATCAGCAACGAATTCCAACGAATAAAATTCAAGTTTACCAAATGCCGGGAATATCTTCCCATTAGCTACTTCCCACCATTGTTTAAGTTAATGGGAAGTTATCTCATTCGTTGAGAATCTCAATAATTGTTGGACAGGCGCTGCGGCCTGGCGTTTTCTCTAATCTTCGTTGTCATTTGCAGGACTCTGAGTCGATCGAGGATCTCAAAGCAGTTGGTAACGTGCCGCACAAACAAAGTAAGTACGAACACCAGTAATGTATTTTTCTTTTCCAATTCTTTACTCTATTTCTTCTGTTCTATAAACTCACTTTTTTCGTACGAACAATCAAGTCTGAGCATGGCTCAGTACTTCTCCGAAAAAATACCTTAATGATAATTCGTTGAACACCCATGCATTTGGTCAGACAAGACGTCATATATGAGGTCATATTCTAATTAAAGGAATCGGGGAATCGTACTAATCGTTCGTCATTTCACAATAGCATTAATATCCAATTTTGACTCATGTTGTGGAAATGACGAAAGTTTATTCAAATACAAAGACTACATGAGAAGGCACTGAATCACAACACTATTCACGCAGCTTCATTCACCCAACTCAGCGAAATACGCCTTACTGCTATTGCGCAGCATACACAGTTTTGTAATTTCAGCATTTTTCAATGTAAATTCCTTCTCATGCGATTATTCTTTAAAATTCTTCTCGAGTTATATCATTATGACACGACAAGAGTAAAACAACACTTTGGAACATTCCAGTATAAGACGTCGAATAATTGGTGTTGAACCATTCATTGACCTTGGGTGCATTCCACATACCTTAATCGACGTTCTTCGACACAGATAGAGTACAGATTCTTTCTTAGTTCAAACTTTCATTTTCACTTTTTGGTCTACTTTTATATTTTTGACAAATCATCAATATTTAATTGAATGTTTATGAACAGATCCACGTCAAATCAGCAGGCGAAAAAAGTTGATGTAGGGATTTTCATCTCAATTTTTCTCAGAAATAATGTCAATTAGACAAAAAGTTGCAAAAAAAGTGGAAAAATATTTATAATTGATGGAGTTATAATTTTTTAAAAATTGCTAGTTTTTGTAAAAAAACATTTGTTCCAAATTGGCCCTACTATCCAAGCGAGCTTTTAAACTTGTCAAATCGCCCTTTGGTGCACTTAAAAATATGAAAAACCCTTCAAAATGAGACGTCATACATAGCATTGTCTTCAGTTTGATGGGGCTTATACGAGAAAACTTTTTTTTTTCAATCGTTAATTACTCAAAAATCTAATTTTTAAACAAGTGGGAAATCGCTCTTGTATTGCCTATAGTGTAGTTATTTTTGCTAATAAATTAGCAATATGCTTCCCAATGGTTATTTTACACATAATTTCCTTCTATCATGTATAATTTATTGTTAATAGACGAATTTTATTTATACAGACTTGAATGAATTTGAAATATCACATTTGAAGAAACCATCAGAATACTCACTTTCACAGAAAGCCATTAAAAATTCGAAATTGTCAACAATCATCATAAAAATCCAATCAATGTAGCTATCGTAATTATCTTTTAACTTCGACTTGATAGCATTAAACCAAATATTTTAAGCTATGATTGGATTCATTTGGATTCTAATTTTCAAATAAATCAAAATAACGATTATTGCTATCGCCTTCATTTTCGAACTCGGTCAAAACGACATCTAAACAAATTTTTTAACCTATCATTCAATAAATTCAGAACGTTTTTGCTTTCGGGTGGAAGCTTTGTAATCGTTCAAATTCAAGTTAGAATTTTTTATGTTACATCGACCCAGTATGATGCAAAAAGTCCGAAAATGCAATTTCTAGATCTCCATACGTGTATGTCCATACGTGTATGTGTATGTGTGTAGGTATATAACAAAGTTTTTCTTCAATTGTTCACTAATGAATGGATGAAATTGAATCTGTTTTTTCAAATGTAGGTATTGTTGAGCCCTATCGATCGCCATTAGCTAAAATTTAATTCATCGATTAGTTTTTTTAATTTTGGAATTTTTGCGAAAATCTATTGTCCCACGATAAGTAAAAAAAATGTTCTGAATTTATTGAGTATTGGCTTAAAAATTTGTTTAGATGTTCGTTTGACCGAGTTTGAAGATGAAGGCGATAGCAATAATCGTTATTTTGATTTATTCGAAACTTTTCAAAAATTTTGTATTTTTTGAAAATTTGAATTCCGGGGATATCTTTGAATAGCATGCTTCAAATGAATTCAATCATAGCTTAAAATGTTTGTTTTGATGCCAAAGTCAAAGTTAAAAGATGATTACGATAGCTATGTTCGTTGATTTGATTTTTATGATGATTGCTGAAACTTTTGAATTTTTCATGAATTCCCCTGAAAGTGAGCTTTCTAATGGTTTCTTCAAATGCGATGTTTCAAATTCATTCAAGTATGTGAAAATGAAAATTTTCTATTAACATTTTATCGAAGGGCTGAGGGGAACGGTAGAACTGTAAAAAAGACAATCGGTTGTATAGAAGAAGAGGGATAATAAGAATAGTGATGCTGATAACATTCAACTGAGTTGAAAATCTGACGAAATTAGGTAAAAGGAAATCTTATTCAATTTAATAAAATGGAATAAGCAATGAATTATACATTATAGAAGGAAATTATGTGCAAAATAGCCATTTGCAAGCGCATTGCTAATTTATTCGCAAAAATAACTATTATATACAGCACAAGAGCAACTCGCCACTTGTTTTTTTAGTTGCTGTGGGACAACGATTTTCGAAAAAATTCGACAATTGAAAAACTGATGGATGAATTAAATTTTAATTAATGCCGATTGATGGGGCTGAACAATACCTACCTATTTAAAAAAAGATTCAATTTCATTTGTTCATTAGCGAACAATTGAAGAAAAACTTTGTTACATATGTATACTCATACACACACGTACGAACGCAGTCTAAAAGTCGCATTTTCGGACTTTTTGGATCATACTGGGTCGATATAATACAAAAAATTTGAACAATTCAAGTTTTGAATTACAATGCTTCCATTCGAAAACAAAATCTGAAATTTTCACCAAAAATTGTCAAAAAAATGACAAGAATTGGCACCAACTAGAGTTTGTCTTTCACCATAATTCGGGAGGTGTTATTTTTTTTTTAGTGAGACAAGTATTGAAAAAGCTCGAGAATCGCTATTATTCATGCAATGATCTCCCAAATGAGTGAATATTCAATTAAATTCTACATTAGCAACAAACGAAAGTTCTTTGAAAAATGTATTTCCATTCTATAATTAGAGAAATAATATCTGCGACAGTCGGAAAAATGGATTTATTGATGTTAATTTAGAGAAATAATAATTTGTTACTCAAAAAATTATACCGAAGGTGAATGATAAAAGATATGATGAGACTAACCACCACCATTTGCTATTATTTCATTGAATATTTACTTATTTGGGGGATAATTGCATGAATAATAGCGATTTTCGGTCATTTTTAATACTTTTCTCATTAAAAAAATCAATAACCGCTGAACTACGGCGAACGACAAACTCTAATTGGCGTCAAATTTCTTGTCATTTTGTGGTTGAAATTTTAGATTTAAAAAAAAATAGACTTTTGAGTAATTAACGATTGAAAAAAAAGGCTGTCTCGTATAAGCCTCGTCAAACTGAAGTTAATGTTATATGTGGTATCTCATTTTGAAGAGTTTTTCATTTTCTTTGAGTGTGGCAAAGGGCGATTTGATAGTTTGAAACCCCGCTGAAATATTGGGGCCAATTTGTAAAAAAAAAATTCCAAAAATCAAACTTCCCCAATTATCAATATTTTTCTATTTTTTTTTTAATTTTTGCCTAATCGCCATTTATTCACAAGATAATTGAAGCGAAAATCCCCAGCATCAACTTTTTTGGCTTGCTGATTGGTGCGGATCTCCTGTTATAGCTTTTGAATGAATAAGGAAGAAGAAAATGTAGACAACTAAATCATGCAAATTGGTAGATTATATATTTTTTTTACATAAAATCATTATTTTTCATGAGTGGTCCATTTTCTTCTTCTTCACTATCACGTAAATGCCTTCGATTCACGATTGCTGTTGACACTTGAAATTTCTGCACATGTTATATAGCAAAACAGCAGCACATTACAATCAATGGCACTACTGTCTTCAACGGTACCTCCACCCCAATTAAAGACAAATACGCAAGCGACGAGAAAGAGCTTGTCGATGAAATGGCTGATTTTATCGAGCATAAGTGTCATAAGACAGACACAATGACTAAAAGAATACGAGACGAAGCAGACGATGACAATAAAAATCGACAAAAGATAATTGAGGATGCAAACAGACTGGTTACTGGTGAGTAACTAAATACTCTTACCCCTGAATTTAAACAATGGAAATAAACATTTCTTATATGAACTAGTGATTTTTTTCCCAATTAAGGTGATGGATGAAAACGATAATTAACTGATTATGTGGGTTGAGGGCCGTTTATTGTCTGCCTGAGCAACAGAAAATATATAACTTTTTTCAGCTAAGAACGCGTGTGCGCCTTGACTCTGGGCTATTGGTTCTCTCTTTGTTTATTATATGTCTATGCCTTTTTTATTTATCTATCTTCATGATCATTATCTGTATGTACAGTATTAATAGTTTATAGTTAATCGTCCATACTCGTGGCCCCCTTCCTATGCGCAATGATTTCGTCCGCGGATTTTCAAAGTGTTTTTTCATGTTTCCTGAAGTCAGAGAATCCGAATTTTTTAGTGTTTTTAGTGCAAAGGAAAGTTATTAACAATTGAATTGGTTTAACCCGAGAGAGGAATAGTTCGGATAGAAAATGTTCCTTTCGCCAAACAGGATATATTTCATTTTAGGGATTTTTAGCGTACTTCGATTATTGACAGAGATATTTGTGATGGAAGGAATCGTTTAGTTTGGAGATGTGGAGCACGAGAGGTGATGCAGGGTAGCACGCCGTACACATTTCTATGTCAACTTTAGAGTCGGGATACCCCGACAGATAATCCAGATATGGGAAAAAAAAGCATAGAAATAAAGGTGTTTAGTTTAGAACATTTTTCATTACGACTATCTTTCTCTTTTCCAGTTATTTTCTAGCAAATCCGGATTTTAATAATTGAATTCTTAATACCTTTCGTTTCCACTAAAAACACTGAAAGTTTCGGATTTTTCATCCCCAAAACACAAAACCAGTGGGAAATTGCTCTCGTATTGCACATAGTATAGTTATTTTTGCTAATAAATTAGCAATATGCTTCCGAATGGATATTTTGCACATAATTTTCTTCCCTCATGTATAATCCGTTGTTAATAGATGAATTTTATTTATACATACTTGAATGAATTTGAAATATCACATTTGAAGAAACGATTAGAATACTCATTTTCAAGGAAATTCATTAAGAATTCGAAATTGTCAACATTCATCATAAAAAACAAATCAACCAATATAGCTAGCGTAATCATCTTTTAACTTCGACCTAATGGCATTAAACCAACTATTTTAAACTATGATTGAAGTAATTTAGAGCATGATATTCCAAGACATCACCGGAATTCTAATTTTCAAAAAAAAAAAATTGTTGACAATTTTCCAATAAATCAAAATAACGATTATTGCTATCGCCTTCATCGTCGAACTCGGTCAAAAGGATATCCAAACAAATTTTTTAAGCCAATATTTAATCAATTCAGAAAATTTTTTTTAATTATCGTGGGACAACAGATTTTCCAAAAAATTCTAAAATTAAAAAAACTAATCGAAGAATTAAATTTTAATTAATAGCGATTAATGGGGCTCGACAATATCTATACTCGAAGAAAACGATTCGATTCCATCCATTCATTAACGAAGACTTGAAGAAAAACTTTGTTAAAAATTGTATTTTCGGACTTTTTAGATCATACTGGAACGCTGTAACACAACAAATCCAAAATTTAAATTTGAACGATTACAAAGCATCCATTCGGCAGCAAAAACATTCTAAAATTCCACGGATCTACGATTGCATATAGAAAGGGGACCTAGCGCAGGGACTCTACTGAGCTGAGATATTTTTGAAGTTGATGCTCATATATTGAATTCCAATTTAATTTGTTATCGAATTCACTTTATGAGAATCGACTTTCAAATAAAATCAGTATCTATTAAAAATTACGTTTGGCATGAATCATTCATAGAAAAATCTATTTAAATATCTAATTTCTACCAATTGTTTCATCATGGAAAATACAACAGAAAGTACCTATCATAATCATCACGTCATCGGTTGAGTTCACCAGCGATTTGCCTTGATCAAATCGTGTTTGCTATGATTTAATTTATTGCCGGTTTCTTACTCTCTACATTCCTTCCTCACACTGACGATTATTCACTAATTTCATTGGCATCTGCACAATTACAAAAAAACATTATCACTTTATGTGTTCACGTGCAGATGAAATACAATGCTACAGGACATTACACGGGCTCTCAAGTTTTCTGCCACCTTTGCGTTTTTTATACTTTTTTTAAAGATAATTAAAATGTGAATTATAGCCTCCTTAGCCTTGGCAAGAATAAAACTGCATTTTATATTTTATAATCTTATATTAATTATTAATCGTAACGAAATCATGCAATCAATCCTTTCCAAATGACAAGTGACGCGTATCATATGATTTCGCTTTTTTCTGTGACCTATTAATTATTACAGACTGAGCAATTAATTGCTTTGCAATTGCGCAACCCTTGGTCGTAGTTTGAAACCAATTTTCTGATTTTCTTTTATTATTAATACATCATATTGTTCTATCCTGTTCAACAATTATAATTTTATATTTTCCAGCAGCGTTTCATAATATCACTTTTAAGGCAAAACGCAAGAAATGTAATGAATAAATGATATTTCCTTAGCGTTGCATGATATTTACTGTGTGGGCACACGGAGCAGCTGTCGTTTGATATTTAATTGGAAAGTTTTTCTTAATCAATCACATTAGTTTTTGTGATTCAGGGTTTATTTTCAGACAGCATGATGATTAATAATAATGCTGAATAATATCTGATATTTAAGCGTGGATTATTGATTCACTAATTGGAGTTGCAATACGAAATAATATGGAATTTCAATGATGTACACGAGCGAATTAATTAATCAAGCGATTATAATTCTGAGTACAATCAATGTCACAATCAGGAATCAATCTTTATGAGTAGGACGGTGATAGAAAGATCGAAATAAAGAGCTGCCTTTGCATCTTCTTTGGGGAATAGTAATAATTTTGACTAAAAAAAGGGATAGCTGCTCCACAGCACAAACACTGTACGCACATGAAATTACACGGAAAGTTAACCCTCGCTCTTATCGTATAAATGTGCAATCTGGAAGCATTAATAAAGAATAATTACTTTATCTGGAACCATAAGTAGCAAATGCGGCTTTGACTAATCGAATCAACGAAAAAAATGACAATACAGAGCTGATTAGAACGCAAAATAAGCAAACGCCTACAAATTGAAAAGAAAAAACTTAAAATGTGTATTATGTACTTTAAATATTCTCTAGATGTACCTTAAAATTTTATAATACTTAATTAACAGGTGTTTTACAAGACGCTGAGAAAGAGAAGGAGAAATTAGCAAAGGAGGGGTGGTCAGGGGTTTATGATGATGCGAGTAAAGAGGCAGAAGGTGCTGTAGGACAGATTGAGGGGATTATAGCTAAAGAGAGTGTAGGCCGCGGGGAAGAGTCGATTGAACCGTTAATTATTAAAAAAAAGAAAATTGATACTCCGCACGGTACTATCATTACTACGATTACTACCACGACGAAAGGTGCTCCCAAAAGTGGAACAGTTATATCCGAAACAAAGACCATTAAAGAAACAATTACACCTGGCCAAGTGCATTTATTCGAGACTAAAGAGCCAGTGACTCTTTCACAAGACAGTTCGAAGAAAAAAGTCACTATCACAAAAACTACTATAATGCTGGATTCTGGTCTTAAGGACGCAGAAATTTCAAAAAGATCGGATGAGCCAAGCGCGCCGATGGCTGCGTTTGACCCAAACGTTGAAGCCGATCGCAGCATGGAACCGGCCCAAGACATCGTCAGGATCCAACCTGATCCTGCGCTGATGTCGGCAAAAGACCGAACGGTAAGTGAAAGTGAGAAATTATTGAAAGGAGGGAAAGAAATTGCCGAGAAGACGATGAAAAATAAACTGAACGATGACGCGAAGGATTTAAAAACCGTAAAGCCAACGAAAGAAATGGACACAGGTGCTTATGAAGGCGTGTATAATGTGCATTTAGACGATTCAAAGGCTGAAGAGGGAAAAAAGAAAGAGAAAGGCAGCATTTTCTCCGGTATATTCAAGGGACCAAAAATAAAGAAAGGAAAAAAAAGAGACTCGAAAGAGGTATCATTTGACAGTGGTGATGAAGATATCAAAGTTACGAAAGAATTCCTCGAGGACACAAGGAAAGTAGCTGATCTGACACGTGACTCTCCTCAATTCGAGTATCCTGCTTTCGATCCAACCACTTATATATGTATTTGTCCCCAAAAACTCCCTGAACAAGAACCAAATCGGGATCCTATTTGGGCTACTGCTGATTTCCTCTACGATTCTCGGCGAAGTGCCGAAGCTTTTGTTCCAGAAATCGAAGATCTTGCAGAAGAACAGGAAATCAAGCCTATTGATGGTGTGGCTATAACACCAGAAGTTGAGAAGACTCCAAAGAAGAAGTTAGTGACAAAAGAAGAGCCAGTGAGTGCTGATGATCATAAAGAAAAACACGGTTTCTTCTCTGGTCTATTCAAGGGGTCAAAGAAACATGATGGTGATGTGGAAACCCCTATTATGAAGACAAAGAAGGAAGACAAGAATATCATAGCGAAACATGAGCAAGAAATGCAGAAGTCTGTAGCTGAACTGAAAAGTAGTGTGGACGATGAAAAAGATCGTCTTGATTCATCTGTGAAAACAACAGTGGATGATGTCGACAGCGTCATAACAACGACTAAAAAGTCAGTCTTGGATGACATTAAGGACTTCAAGAAAGCTATGCGTAACGATAAAAAACAAGCTGATGATGGTTTGAAGCGCCTAAGTGGTGACTTGAAATCACTCGACGAGAAAATCAAGTCCGGTGCGGATGAAATAGAAAAAGAAACTAAACATGCTACAGGAGTATTGAAAACAGAAGTTGAAGAGACAACTGATGAGGTCAAGGATAAATCTAGTGGCTTCTTTGGCATTTTCAAGAGTCCTAAAACTAAAAATCGACGTAGTCGATCGAAAGATAAGGATACATCGAAAGACGTGTCCTTTGACAGTGGAGATGAAGAACTCAGGATAAGTACAGCTGCATTTTTAGATGACACTAGAAAGGCGGCGGACAGAGCTTTACTGAAGTTGGAAAAAGAACCCCAAGTGAAAGAACAAAGTGATATCAAAGTAGAGAAATTCATTACGACAGTTCCTGAAGAATCGGACCTACCAAAGGATAAATTAAAAGGCAGTTCGTATGATGTAAAGGTACCAAAAGTTGAAACGACGACAATTACAAAAACCATCATATCAAATTCCGATCCGAATGATGCAGTGCAGTCTTCAGAACAAAAACGCAGTCGCGTTGATAAGAAGAAAGCCGAACAAAGGAGATCGGGTGAATTCTCAGATTCGGCTGACGAAAGCAAATCGAAGGGGACCAGCTTCTTCGAAAAATTCAAGAGCCCGAAACTGAGATCGAGGAAGAATCGATCTAGGGATCGGAGCACTTCAACAGAGCCTTCCTTTGACAGTGGTGATGAAGAACTCAGACATGCAACATCGAAATTCCTGGATGATACACGCAAAATTGCAGAGGCAACCGGCAGTTTCGATGAGCCTAGAAAATCTCTCAAGGATACGTTGGTCACTAAAGAACCTGTATCCCCCGTGACAGCAGAAGTCAAACAGACAGATGATGAAGCAGTGGATGTAAAATCCAAAGAAGATGATGGAAAAGGGAAAAGTGGACTTTTCGGGATATTTAAAAGTCCCAAAAGTCACATTCGGAGGAGGAGTAAATCAAGGGAAAAGAGTTCATCAACTGATGCCTCATTCGATAGTGGTGATGAGGATTTGAGGATCGCGACTTCCAAACTCTTGGACGATACTCGTAAGATCGCAGATATTATGGAAGAACATCCATACCCATCTGCTCCTGCCGTACAATTGCTGCAACGCGATGAAGGTGATGGAGAGAAACCAACAGAACTGGGTGAAAAAAGTGGTTTTCTGTCTGGAATTTTCAAGAGTGCTAAACACGCGGTCGAAGAAGTAACTGATGATGTTAAAGAATTCTGGGAAGAGACGAAGGAAGAGGCTGAAGAAGAGAAACAGCAAGCTGATCATGAACTCGAAAAAACTACCAAAGCAGCTGCAGAGATTGGAGATGGAATAACCGCTGTTGGAGAAACTGTCAACGCGGAGATTGATAAGAAAGTTGGTGAAACTCTAAACGACAATTCTGAAACTCTCCAAACTATAAAAGTCGAAATCACCGATGTGCCAGACAAAACTGATCATAATATTCCACATCGTGGTGCAAAAGGATCAACTGAGGTGAAGGAGAAAGCTAGTAAGGTGAGCAAAGACATCGATAAGGCTAAAAAGTCCATGGCTAAACCTCCCAAAAAGGAGGTTGAAGCAAAGAAAGGAAAAGTCGCTGTGGATACAAAAAAAGTCTCAGATTCGCCAACTGCTGCAAAACGTAAAACTGGAAGGGAGCCGGAAAAACTCAAAGAGAAAGGTCCAGGTCTTCTTTCAGGCATTATTAAAGGTGCTAAACATGCTGTAGATGAAGTATCAGAAGATGTTAAAGAATTCTGGGACGAGACCCAGGATGAAGCTAAAAAAGAAGATGAACGAGCACAAAAAGAAGATGGGTCTGATGTGAGGAAAAGCCCCCCCATTAAGGATTCCGATTCATCAGCTGACGAAACAGGCAAAAAAGAAAAGTTGGTTGGTAAAGATGTGACAGGATCTTTGAAAGGAATCAAAGGAAAAGTTATACAAACTACTACTACAACCGTAAAGACTACCAGAGTATCTCCTCCGAAAAATGGAAAAACTATTGATCAAACTAAGAAAGCCGCACCACAACCATCCAAGGAGGAATCCAAAACAGTAAAAAGAAAAATCAGCGATGTTGATAAAACTGTTGCAGCTAAGGCTAAAACTGCTAAAGAAACTGCTGCCGAAAAAGTCAAAGTCACTAAGAATGTCCCGGAAGACCCTAAAACTACAAAAGATACTACTGTAGAGACAGCCAAGTCAGCGAATCAGCCATCTGCAGAACAAGCGAAGCTGTCCAAAGGAAGTCCTACAGAAAAACTCAAGTCTGACAAGAATAATGGCCAGGAGAAAACTAAGTCAATGAGACAGTCACCTCCGAAAGCTGCTGGAGATGTCGATCAACCTAAAAGGGCAATTTCCAAACAAGTCAAAACCGAATCGAAAACAACGAAGGGTAAAGTTGATGCTGCTTCTAAAAGTACAGCAGGTGCCAAAGATGCAGCCCTGAAAAAAGACAAAGATGTGAAAAAAGGAAAGGACAAGGGTTCGGATTTCTTGACAGGTATCATCAAAGGTGCTAAACACGCAGCTGATGAAGTTACCGAAGATGTTAATCAATTCCTGGATGAGACAAGGAAGGATGCTGAAGAACAAGAGAAACAGCTTAGACGGGAAGCTGAAGAAACCGCTAAGACTTCTGAAGATATGAAGAATAGAATAGGTCAAGATATCGAGTCAGCCAAGGATGATGCATCCCATAAAGTTACTGAGAAGTCCAAGGATATTGTTGATCTAACACATGCAGCCGATAAAGAAGCAACACAAATGATCGATGGTATTGGGGATGAATTCGAGAAAGATACTAAAGTAATCCAAGATCACGTCACTGAGACAGCAACCGTTGCTATTGATTCTACCGAAAAAGCTGCTGATAAAGTTGAGAAAGAAGCAAAGAAAGCAAAAGATAAAGGTAAAGGTTTCTTATTTGGCATTTTCAAAGGTAGCAAACACAGTGTCGACGAAATGACTGATGGCATCCAAGATACAATCGATGATGTAAAGAAGGAAGCTGAAAAGGGCAAAGAAGCCATGCAAGGTACAGTGAAATACGTCAAGGAAAAACTTGATCACGATGTCAATATAGTAAAAACCGATATTAAGAAATCTAAAAACTCGTTCGATAAAGAAATTAAAGAGGGCAAAATTCATATTGATGATAAAATTTCTGGTACAGCAACGGCTATTAAAGATGATATCGATACTGCAGCATGTCAAGGGCAAAAAGAACTTGAACAGGCGAAGAAAACAATTGAAGGTGCTTTAAGTGAAATTTCAGAGAAATCTGACAACGGTATATCGAAAGCCCACATTGGAGCTGCAACAATTACCGATGCTGTCGAGAAAACACCTCAAATAGTTGAAGATACTGCAAAACAGGTCGTAGATAATGTAGTCAACACTAGAGACGCTACTGTGAAGGAAATTGATAAAAACTTGAATGTTGCAAATGAAAAAGTGAGTACTACAGCTGAGGAAATATCTGATTTGATTAAAGATGGGAAAGACAAAGCTGAGAAAGAAGCTAGAAAGGCTAAAGACAAGGGTAAAGGCTTCTTTACTAATATATTCAAAGGTTCTAAACATGCAGTCGAGACCACTGGAGACGATGTTCAAAATTTCCTTGAAAAAGCTAAAGAAGAAGCTGCGAGAGATAAGGAACAACTTCAACAGAATGCTGATAAAATAGCTGAAAATATAACGGATATCAAGGGTGATATTATAAATGATCTTGATTCTGGTAAAGATGCTATCGTCGATATGGGTAAAGCCGCTGATGATGCACTTTCCAGTACTACAAAGCAGGCATCAAATGCTACTAAAGATGCAACCAAAAAAGTGGCTGATGAAATATTAGATACGAAACACGCTGTTGCTGAGGGAGTCCAGAAGAACGCAGAAAGGTTGAAAGAAGACGTTAAGGAAGTAGCTCACAGTGTGTCTAAAGCAGCAGATGAAAGCCAAGATAAAATAGGGAAAGAAGCGATAAAAGCCAAAGAAAAAACAAAGGGCTTCTTCTCAGGTATTTTCAAAGGGGTCAAGCATGCATCAGACGAAGTTGCTGAAGATGCTAAAGACCTCGCTGACGAGGCGGGAAGGGAGCTGGAGGAGGATCAACATAAAATATCCAAATATGTTTCGGATACCACCAAAACCATAAGTGATGTAGCAGACGAAGCTAAGAACAAAACAATTGACACTACGGCTGCAGGTAAAGATGCGGTTGTAGATGCTGGTCAAACCGTAGTGGACACCGTTTCAGGTACCACCTACCGTCCAGCGAAGGCAACTGAAGACGCCGTCAAGAAAATGGTCGATGGTATGGCAGAGACAAAAGATTCGATAAGTGCAGCATTTACCAAAGATTCTAAGAATTTGAAAGATCAAATGCAACGGACCACTGATAAAGTAGTAAATACTGCTGAGGAACGTAAGGATAAAATTGAAAAGGAAGCAGGAAAAGCTAAAGATAAGACCAAGGGTTTCTTCACTGGGATCTTCAAGGGAGGCAAGCACGCTGCTGATGAAGTCATTAAAGACACAAACGATTTTATTCAGGAAACTGAGAAAGCAATAGAAGAAGATCGCAAATTATCAGCCCATGTTGCAGAAACGAAAACCGCTGTTACCGAGGGCGCCGAAAAGGCTCAAGATAAACTCGTTAGCGCTGCAATCGCAAGTAAAGATGCTAGTACTGAAACAGCCAACGCGACAGGCAATGCAGTAGCAAGTACAGTAGAAGGAACATCGAGAGCGGTGGACGATACCGTTAAGACAGTTTCCGAAAAGATAGCAGAATCTAAGGCAGCTATCACTGAAAAGGGAAAAAAAGAGACAGAAAGATTGAAAGAAGACGTAAAAAATGTCACTCATTCTATTGCTGACACCACAGACGAAATCACGGATAAGATAGAAAAAGACGCAGCTAAAGCTAAAGAAAAAACTAAAGGTTTCTTTTCCGGTATCTTCAAAGGAGCAAAATATGCAGCAGATGAGGTAGCTCAAGACACAAAAGATTTCATGCATGATGCTGGAAAGGAAGTTCAGAAAGATGAACAGATGTTATCGAAAAAAGTTTCAGAAATAAAAGTACATTCTACTGATGCTGCAGAAAAGGCTAAAGACCAAGTCATTGATACTGCTATTGCAGGGAAAGATACGGTTACTGACACGGTTCAAGTTACCGGTGATGTAATATCAAGTACTACAGAGAAAGCATCGCAGGCAACCAACGACACAGTTAAAAAAATGGCTGATGATGTGACAGATACAAAAGTCGCTCTAACAGAAAGTGTCAAGAAAGGTGTAGAAAGCTTAGAGGACGGTGCAAAAGATGTAGCTCATGCTGCTGCTGATACTGCTGAAGGGAGCAAGCATAAAGCTGAGAAGGAAGTGGCCAAAGCGAAAGGAAAATCCAAAGGTTTCTTTTCCGGCATCTTCAAGGGAGCAAAACACGCTGCTGATGAAGTAGTCGACGATGTGAAAGAATTTATTCATGAAACTGAACAAGAAGCGAAAAAAGATGAAGAGAAGTTATCCAAAAATATTTCTGACACAGCAGCAAATGTCAAAGATGTTGCAGGAAAAGTGAAAGATAAAGTTGTGGACACTGCTATTGCAGGTAAAGATGCTGTCGTTGATGGTGCTAAAACGGTAGGCGAAGAAGTGTCAAATACTGCAGGAAAAGCGAAGGATCAGCTCGTAGATTCTGCTGTTGCTGGCAAAGATGCTGTTGTTGATGGAGCTAAAGCGACAGGCGAAGCAGTTTCAAGTACTGTTGGAGAAGTACAAGATAAGTTTGTCGATACGGCTGTTGCAGGAAAAGATGCAGTTGTCCGGGCTAAAACGATAGGTGATGCAGTTTCAAGTAGTGCAGAACAAGCATCAAAGGCATCTAAAGACACAGCCAAGAAAATTTCCGATGACATTATCGAGACAAAAGATGCTGTAACTCAGAAAGTGACGGAAAATGTAGAGAGTGTGCAGGATGAAATGAAAGATGTCGGTCGTGCAGTTGTTGAATCTGTTAAAGAAGCCGAAGAAAAAGTGGAGAAAGAGGCAACAAAGGCTAAAGATAAAACCAAGGGATTCTTTTCAGGAATTTTCAAAGGTGCCAAACACGCAGCTGAAGAAGTAGCTGAAGATACGAAAAATGTCGTTAAAGAAACTGAAGACAAACTGAAACAGGACAAAGAAAAACTTCCGGAACGAGTTTCAGAAATCAAACAGAGCGTCACTGAAACCATTGGAAAAGCGAAGAATGAAATAACTGATTCTACTCTTACGAGTAAAGAGATTGCTGCTGATGTTGCCAAAGCTGTGGGTGATACAGTACTAAGCGCTGCAGATCAGACATCCAAAATCCGTGAAGAAACAGCAAAGAAAATTACCACTGACGTAGTACAGACTAGCGATTTTGTAACTACAAATTTGCAGACAAATGTCGAAGGTCTGAAAGGTGAATTGAAAGATGTTGCTCATATGGTTGCTGATACGGCTGAAGAAAGTAGAGGCAAAATGGAGAAAGAAGCCTCAAAAACTAAAGAAAAATCTAAGGGATTCTTCTCTGGTATTTTTAAGGGGGGAAAGCATGCCGTTGGTGAAATTTCTCAAGATACAAAAGATTTCCTTGACCATACGAAGAAAGAAATTGAACAAGATAGAGAAAAATTATCAAAACAAGCCTCAGACACAACAACTGTAACTGATGCTATAGGTAAAGTTAAAGATGAAGTAATCGACAAAGCTGTTTCTGGGAAAGATGCTGTTGTCCATGCCGCCAGCACTACTGGGGATGTTCTTTCAAGTTCTGCAGAACATGCATTGAAAACCACTCAAGACACATCTAAAAAAATTTTCGATGGTGTAGTAGATGCGAAAGTCGCTGTCAGTAAACATGTCAAAACAGATATGGAAAACTTGAAAGATGGTGCTCACACAGTTGCGGAAACTGTCGAGGAAAATGCAGACAAAGTTGAAAAAGAAGCGTTAAAAACTAAGGAAAAAACCAAGGGATTCTTCTCTGGCATTTTCAAAGGGGCGAAACATGCTGCTGATGAAGCTGCTGAAGATACAAAAGACTTCCTTGACCATGCAAAGAAAGAAATTCAACAAGATGGAGAAAAACTATCGAAACAAGTTTCAGATACCACAACAACTTTTACTGAAACTGCAGAAAAAGCTGCAGATAAACTCGTTGAAACTTCAGTGGCAGGTAAAGAAGCTATTATTGATGTCGCTAAAACGAGTGCTGATGTCCTTTCAAGTTCTGCAGAACGTGCATTGAAAACCAGCGATGACGCAGCAAAAGAAGTTGTTGATGATGCAATTGATGTGAAGGAGGCTATAAGTAAAAAAGTGAAGACAGGTACAGAGCATTTGAAAGAGGGAGTACAAGATGTTGCACATGTCGTCGCCGACGCTGCTGCGGAAACCAAAGATGAAGCTGAAAAGGAGGTAACCAAGGCTAAAGAAAAAGCAAAGGGTTTCTTCTCCGGCATCTTCAAAGGCAGTAAACACGCCACTGATGAAGTAGTTGACGATGTGAAGGAGCTCGCCCAAGAAACTAAAAATGAAGTAAAAAAAGACAAAGAGATAATATCGAAGCATATTTCTGACACAACCAGCAACATCACTAACACTGTAGGAAATGTGCAGGATAAAATTGTGGATACTGCTGTTGCAGGTAAACACGCTATTGCTGATGCAGCTAAGACCACTGGTGATGTACTTGCAAGTACTACCAAACAAGCAGCAAAAGCAACCAAAGACACAGTTGAAAAAATCGATGCAAATATGGCAGAGAGGAAACAAGCTATAACTGATGAGGTAAAAAAAGAAACTGAAAGTTTAAAAGATGGGGTGGAACATGTCACCCATGCCGTTGCAGATTCCGCCAAGAAAATAAACGATAAAGCTGAGAAAGAAGCAATGGAAGCTAAAGATAAAACCAAGGGTTTCTTCTCTGGCATTTTCAAAGGCGCTAAACATGCTGCTGATGAAGTAGTCGACGATGTGAAGGAATTCATCCATGAAACTGAAGAAGACGCAAAACATGAAGAGAAATTATCGAAGCACATTTCGGAAACAACCGACAATGTCACCGACGCTGTAGAAACAGCAAAGAACAAAGTGGTCGATACAGTTGTTGCGAGTAAACAGTCTATTGCTAATGCAGCCGAGGCCACTGGTGTTGCGATCTCTAGTACTACCGAACAAGCATCAACGGCAACCAGAGATACGGTTAGAGGCATTAGTGGTGATATAACCAAGACAAACCAAGCTATTACTGATAAAGTGAAGGAAAAGACTGAAAGCTTGAGTGATGGGGTAAAACACGTCGCTCATACAGTTGTCGATTCTGCCAAAGAAACCAAAGAGAAAGCTGAAAAAGAAGCAGCGAAAGCTAAAGATAAAACTGAGGGCTTTTTCTCTGGTATCTTCAAAGGAGCGAGGCATGCTGCTGATGAAGTAGTTGATGATGTAAAAGAATTTATTCATGTTACTGAAGAAGAAGCTAAACACGAGGAAGAAAAATTATCGAAGAAAATTTCTGATACTACTGGAGCCATCTCTGACACTGCACAGGAAATCAAAGGCCAGGTCGTCGACACGGCTGTTTCCAGCAAGCATGCCGTTGTTGATGTGGCTAAAGGCACCGGTGATACAGTTTTAAGTACTGCAGGACAAGCATCGAAAGCGACTAAGGACACAGTTAAGAAAATTGTAGACAACGTAACGGAAAAAGAAAATGCTTTAGCTGAAAAGTTGAAGAAACATACGGAAAGTGTAAAAGATGAAGCGGAACACGTGGCTTCTACTGTTGCCGAGTCGGCTCAAGAAAACAAAGATATGATTGAAAAGGAGGCAGCCAAAGCTAAAGAAAAAACTCATGGATTTTTCTCCGAAATTTTCAAAGGAGCTCAACATGCGACTGATGAAGCAGCTCAAGAAACAAAAAAATTGATTGATGAAACTGGAAAGAAAATAGGAGAAACCGAACGAAAGGCCGCAGAGAAAATCTCAGATACAACAACGACTGTTACTGATGCCGCAGTGAAAGCTAAAGATCACATAGTTGACACTGCTGTAGCTGGCAAAGATGCTGTAGTTGATTCCGCTAAATCCACTGGTGAAGTACTTTCAAAATCTGCGGATCACATATCGAAAACCACCAGCCAGGCAGCTAAAAAAGTTGGTGATGGTGTAACAGATACGAAGGAAGCAATAAGTGAGGAACTTGAAAAAGATGCAAAAAGCATTAAAGACGCAGTAAGAGACACTGCCCATGCACTTGGTCAAACTGCTGAAAAGACCCAGGATAAAGCTGAAAAGGAGGTAACAAAAGCTAAAGACAAGACGAGAGGCTTTTTCTCCGGTATTTTTAAAGGTGCGAAGCACGCAGCTGATGAAGTAGTTGACGATGTCAAAGAATTCATTCATGAAACTGAAGAAGAAGCACAAGAAGAAGAAGAGAAAGCTCGAAAACTCACCGCTGAGACAATGAAAGATACAAAGAAAGCCATAGATGAGTCCACAACAAAAGTATCTGAAGGACTTGGAAACGTGCTCGATAAATCAGAAAAGTTGAAGGATGATGCACATCAGAAAGTGAAAAATATTGAGAAAAGTGCATCGGATGCAATGAAGGTTGCTGGTGACACTTTTACAGATGCTGCAAGCAATGCCTTACATGTAACAAAGAAATCAGGCCGAAAAATCAGTGCAGAACTTAGTCATGCCAAAGATACAGTACGCAAAGACGATGCCCATATCGTGGAAGAAAAGATTGCGGAAACTACAGACAATGCCGCTGCCGCGAAAGAAAAACTAGAAAAAAAAGCCAAGAAAACAAAAGAGAAAACTAAAGGCCTCTTTTCCGGTATCTTCAAGGGTGCAAAACATTCTTCAGAGGAGGGCATTGATAATATGTCAGAATTCCTCGAGGAAACTAACCGAGAGCTAGAAAAAGAGGCTGAAAAGACACATCGGGCCTCTGAAGAAGCCACCAAGTCCATTGAGAAAGCTGTGAGTGATCTCAGCGCTACAAACGATGAAATTACGCAAAAGATATCTCAAGCAGCTACGGATGTTAGTGATACAGCTAAAGGAATCGTTGCTGAAAGGCAAAAGAATATGGCAACCAGTCAAAATGCTATAATGGAAGCAACTGTAGCTGCAGGCGAAGCTCTTTCTGATATACCTATCAAAATCCAGGGTGCATCAAGTGAAACAGTTGAGAAGATTGGAAAAGAAGTTGATGCAACCAAGAAGTATATGTCTGACGGGCTTGATAGAGGTATACATCTAATCGAAGAAAAGGGGACAAAGACGGCCGGAACTGTAGCAGAATCTGCAAATGCAATGAAAACAGCGACCGAGGAAGAAGTTGTTCATGCTAAAGAAAAGGGTAAAGGATTCTTCTCTGGAATTCTGAAAAGCGCTAAGCACGCAGTAGATGAAGTTGCTGCAGATATTGATGAATTCAAAACTAAAACTCAAAAAGAAGCTGAAGAAGAAGAGGAAGCCGCTCGACAAGCTTTGAACAACGCGGCGAAATCTGTAAAGAGCGTTAAACATAAAATTGAAACTGATAGCCATGCTGCAAAAAAGAAAGTAGATGAACAAGCCTCTAAGGTAGTCCAACGAGCAGAGAATGCTCTAGTAACCGCCGAAACAGACTTGGACAGGAAATTGGATTCAGTGGACCAGAAAACAGCAAAAACTGGGGAATCTATTTCCGAAACAGCTAGCAAGTCAATCCAAAATCTAAGAGATACCTCCAAGAAAGTAGATGATAAAGCTCATGAAGTCAAGGATGTCTTTGACAAAGAGCTGAAAGAAGATTCAAAGATTGTTAAACAGGCAGTATCTGATTTCACACATTCAATTGCGGATTCGGCTGAAGTTGCGGAGCTGAAACTAGAGGCTGAAACTCAAAAGACTAAAGAAAAAACTAAGGGTTTCTTCTCTGGCATTTTCAAAAGCGGAAAGCAAGCAGCAGACGACACGGCGCATGAAACTCAGGAATTCATCGACAAGAGCAAAAAAGAATTTGAGGAAGAGAAACAGGCAGCAGTAAAATCAGTAATCGATGCATACGATAAAGCAGCGATGGACGTTCAGTCTGGAGATCAGACTGCGCAGAAAATATCGCAAACAAGTCATGATATCTCCAATGTAGCTGAAAGAATTGCAGAAGATATTAGTGATGGGTCACGAAAAATTCAAGATAAAATATACCGTAATGTTGAGGACTTGAAAGATAAAACCCATAAAGTTCATGACAAATTGGCGGAAGATACTTCCAAAGTATCTGGGCAAATCATCAATAACCTTTATGATACAAAGGAAGCGGTGGTTGCTGAAGCAGACAAAAATATAGCAGCAGCAAAAATCAACATTGACGGGGCAGTGCAATCAACAACTGACCCCACGGATACTGCACAGCAAGAAATTGGAAAAACAACGAAAATGATGAAAGACAAAGGCGAAGGTTTCTTTTCTGGTATCGTAAAAGGAGCTAAGCACGCCTTGGAAGAAGTCACAGATGATGTCAAAGAATTCTGGGATGAGACGAAGGAAGAAGCTAAAGAAGAAGAAGAGCATGTTAAGCATAAAATTATAGAGGCTGATAAGAGCGTCAAACATGAGCTCGATACTTTTGGGCAAGATATTCAAATGATTACAGATGGGCGTCTTGATTTTAAGGATCTTGAAACTGATCTACCGAAACAGGAAAAAGAGGGACAGTCAAAAACTGAGAAACAAAAGGGAAAAAGCGGCCCAATTTTCGGAATTTTGAGGCGCGACAAGCATGATAAGATTGTGCACGATGAAGTCACGACCGTTGGTCAGGTCATCATAGATGGGACCGACGCAATATCAAGCTCCACCAAATCCGCCATGGAGAAAACCACGAAAGATGTAAAAGATGATGTAAAGGCAGTAGAAGAAAAAATCATTGATAGGAGCAAGGCTGTAGCGGACTCCGCAGAGGTTGTGAAGGATCAAATCGAGAAAGATGTCAAGAAAACGAAAGAGAAAAGTTCAAATTTCTTCTCAGGAATTATCAAGGGTGCGAAACATGCCGTAGAAGATGTATCAGACGATGTTAAAGAATTCTGGGATGAGAGCAAACAGTCAGCCAAAGAAGACGGTAAACAAATCCAGGAAGATGTAAAAAAAACTGGAAAGCAAGTCGAAGGAAAAAAAGATGAGGCATCGACAGATTTTATGAAAAGAGAAGGGGAACTACGAAAAGGAATGTCTGTAGGGTACGAGCCCATCCTTCAAACCATAGACGACAATTCATTGTCCAGCCAACCGTTAGCACAATCCACACCACCTATACAAGATCCTTACGTCGCGACAGTGGCCTTTTTAGAAGATTCTCGTGAAACTGCCATGCAAATCGACGACAGGATGCCAATTGCACCCACAGAAATGGAATCCTCACGAGAAGAAAAAAGTTCAAAAGGAAAATCAAAGAGTGTAATTTCGAGTATGGTCAAGGCCACTGAAAAGTTTTGGGAGGACACCAAGCCTGAATTCGCTCATGTATCTGGTAGTTATGACGTATCTTCCCCGCAACGTAAAACAGACAAAAAAAGTGATATAGTAGATGACGCACAGGTTACCCTAGAATCGTTCGGTCCAATTGAAAGTAGACTTAGGGAAACAAGCACAGTAACAAAATCAGTCTCAGGCATTCCACAAAAAATAGATGCAGCTAAAGATTTTGATACAGAAGTTAGGGTAGTAAGAACTGAAAAGTCACTAGAACGAGAGTTAGATGACAGTAATAGGGTGAAGGGTGTAGGGCACCTTGAGCCTCATGCACGGCAAACCGTCACGACAATAGTAACAAAGTCGTCTATGAGGACGACAATGTCGACTCCGCCACCCAGCCCCGACGAGCTCGGTGACAGTAGAATTAAAGGTATCTTCAAACAATGATTGATTGTGTTATACATATATATTACATACCAGCTGTGTGTAACATGTATAATTTTCCATTACGATTATTTTTAATGCTTTTAATCTTTTTTTTAACCCATTTTTTATTTAATTTAATGGTAATTTTTTATTTTCCCTCCAGTGAAGCCTATTAACGGAGGAAACGATTTAAACAAATGCCAGATATCATGCACCACAACGTCATTAATCTAATAATGTTTTTTTTACCCATAAAACTTTAATGCGTGTAACCCAGTTTTAACCGAGGAATTTACCGAAGCACCTGAACTCCACAATGGTATTGCCCGATTGTGAACCATTTGAATTACAAGCTCGTCGAGATAATATGGATTATGATGACTCCATTTTATATTCATAGATTGATCCCTACGTCCTTTTCGTAACTCAAATAAAACGTATAATTATTTCAAGCCTAAGGTGACACGAACAGTATTCACAAACCCAAAGGGAGTTATTTATTTGCTATACTATAACATAGACAAATGGTTTTCCAAATACGTGATCTAATATGTTTTTTTTTCAACATTGAATGCATGCTTTCAGTTAATGTTGAATTTTCAACTGTTTCATTTGATTTTTATTGAGCTTTTTCATTTTGCTTCTTTTCATTTTCCCCACCTGTGGTGTCTACAGTACACAAATATCTTTGACATAATGAAAAATTCTTAATTCCACATATATTATATATTTTATAGCAACAAAATGATGTTAGATCCACCTTCAAAAAATCGTTCGAAAGTGAAATTAATTACCGGCAGTAATTCACTGTCATTTGATTAACAGGAAAGCCCATGGTCTAGCGAAGCATGTGAACCAAAATATGCCAGGGAATATCATCACCATCATCCTAATCACTATCGTTCTAAATTCACTGCTTTAAATGTTCATCAAGAACTTACATGTATAACTTATACCTTATTTTGCTGGGTCTTTACAGATGTAACGGAGGAAGCTGCTAAACGCGCCCAAAGCTTAGCGGACCAAGCACTTGAGCTAGAAACATCAGGTAATGTTTGTATATAATATGGAACTGCAAGAATCCGAGGATTAGAATTAATAGATTCAACGAGACCAATTACCGATCAGGGATAATGGGATGAGTAATTTAGGAACTCATCAATTTTTTTGGTACCCTCAGTGATATTTAGCTTTATCTTACATAGTTAGCACATGCTGGCTTACTACACTAACTAATAATTCACGAATGCCCTCCAGTGAATGATATTATATCAATCAATGAATCATAACAAGTATTGTCCTTGCGGAGAAATTCTATCTCCTAAATGATGACGAGGGTACTCTCTTGTTCGTGAATATCTGCTACTGGTCGGGAGACTGTGAAGATGATATAGATGCTTCAGCGGAGAGCATTCAAATGATTGATACACGTCACTTCTTCATGTATACATCAATCATCATTTACGGAATTATCAGAGTTGAAATCGTCCATGCCCTCATCATCTCGAGAATTTTTATGACCGGTCGATGTGACAGAATAACTTCCTATTCTATTAAAAACAAAATAATTAAGGACTTATGAAAAAAGACAGTTTTCCAAACTGATAAGGAACTCCATTTTCAACTCTGACAAATCCGTCGACTGATGAATACGTATACACCCCAACACATTAATCAATGCCATATTAATACCAGTTTGAAAATCTAACTGTCACATAGTCAATGGATCATAATATAGTTTCCCTAACAAAAAATCTGAATGGTCTCACCAATTACCAAAAAAAATCCCTTTGAAATAAAAACTCAATAAAAAAAAGAAGAATATGCCAACAACTAATAATTACAGCTGGGCTAGAAACTTGAGATTTATTTAGTGTGTATCAATGTGCTTTATGCCCTTGTTCCTGTTCTTGTCCGTGTCCTTTTGGATGGGTCAGGGCATGATTCGGCTGAGATTGATGGGACTGTAGAGAGGCATGTTACTTCTGCTCCGACAAATCAATCCGTTCCCGACCCACGTCACTGCACCAAGTCATCTTCACTGAAAAAAGAATTGTGTCTTGATCTTGAAGTCGATAAACATCATCCAAAGTCCCAGAGTCCAAGGTCTAAGATTCCACAGGCGTCGAGCTCATCGCCAAAACCACTTGCATCCGTTCCATTAGATATTAGTTTGGAAGAGTCGAGCCAGAAGAGTAAGATACCGATTAAAACAAAGGAGGGAAAAAGAAAGGATAAGAATAATGGTGTTGTAACGATATCAAAAACGGAGGATGGCGATACAACGATCATCAGTAGGCACTCGTTTATAACAAAAACGATGGAAGATGATAGTGGTGAGACGTCTGTTATCACGAGAACTGTGACATCAATAGTATCAGAGAGCTCAGGATCTTTGAGCCAAGCTGACATGAATAAATTGATTGAATCGAGCAATTTCACAGATCCTGCAGCTAGCATAACAGAAACAACCACCAGAACGGTGATAACGGATAGAATACCAAAGTCAACTTCGAAAGAAGACAATGGTGCTTGCACAAGTGCCAAAGAAATTGTGAGATCCATTAGCACAAAGAGCTCCTGGGAATCTTCATCGCGATCACATGACAAGGACAATTGGGATCAGATTCAATGTTCTCTGGACACATCACCAGGCTCCGGTGATATTGCCTTCACAAAGAATGGCGATTCACGTCACGAATTACCAAGTGACAGTGACAGCGATGGCTCACCACGAGCCCGGAGACGATCATTGAGCAAGAGACGAACACTGGGCAGCTCAAGTGGATCGGATGTTGCTCTGCATGAAGGTGCTGAACTATCACCTCTAGAAGACGACCAAGGTACCGCAATCACAGCTAACAAATTCTAAGTAAGCGATGTAATTGTCCCGCTAAAACAAACTCCGTCTCCAATGAATCCTCATTCCCTGTGATACCTTTATATCGCTATTTGTCTCTTGCAAGAAGAGATCAGCTTTCTGTGTTCGTGATTACCTGCTATGTTCGTACTCCCGCTCACTTTAATTCATTAATTGTAACATTATCTATTTCATGGTTACCTTGTTCTTCACACCTTGCTGCTTTGGGAATTCTGTGTAATCATGTGATCTTATTAATTACCAGTATATCTGATCTGCGAAAAAATTGGAAAATTAAGCTTGTTGGAATTTTCAAAGTTTCCCTTCCTCCTCTTTTTATTTCTCAGGGAAAATTCAGGTTGTGGAGAGGTATTTCGTAGGTGTCTTTCCGTCTCGGTGGTAATCGTTCAAATCGAAGTTAGAGTTGGATTCCAAGTTCTACGGGCTTAGTCGCTTGGTTATACTCATACATAATTATCTAGTCATTTTTAGTATTCACTGATGGACATTATCAAGTCAGCGGAGAGATGATAGTCAACTTGAGTGTTTGATGAGTATCTTTGAATCTAGAAGCAATAGATCTATTCACATCCATTTTATTTATTGAGCAAAACGAAAACTCGAAAAATATTCCTTATTAAAAGACGCAATCTAGATTTAAGATTTTTTTTCAACAAATTCATGTTGGCTTTCTACTGACTTGTTTTGTGTTTCAAATTCATTATTGATTCGCTGCCCTTCATATTTCTGTGCTCTGCAAATCCTCTTCCGAGGTCTCCCCTTCGTACTAATTTCATTAGATGTTACATCCAGTTGCTACATGGTTTGTGGGAAATCATGAAATTTTGCATATTCTCGACAAGCATGAAAGTTATTAGAGGATGTAATTTGTTACGTGGCAATAGCCGAGCAGAGTTCGATTTCATTGATGGATTCGGAAATGAAAAGCTGCCCAATAGGCACCCCACACAAGTCTAACAGGAAGACGAGTGGTAGTTCGAGAAGCATTTGTTGGCTGAGTGTGGCATCTGCGGTGTTAGTCGGAGTAGTTGCACTTTGTTTAGCCCTGGAACCTCGTGTACTCCACATTCTCTCTAGTCACGATTCGAGATAGCCTGGGTACGATCGACACCATTTTTTCTCTTTTCTTTCATAAGAATTACCTTTGTAATTTAGATCGTGTAGTGAAATGACAGAAGATGACAACTTGATAGATTTCATGCAGGCAATTTTGCTAATATCTCAAAAACTAACAGCATTAGAAAAATTATCACAAACTCTTGCTGTACACTGAGAGAAATATCGACATAATAGCACAAAACTAATTTCTTGCGCCAAATGTCTCCTCCCTTAAGGATAAAACACTTGGGACAAGAATCCCGCATAATAAGTCAGACCGCGTAAGAATCCTGTGAAATGTTCATGACTTGAACACGAACACTTGACGATAAAGTGACCATTTCTTGCCTCAAGACATCGTTCATTTCGTGTCAATAGATGAGAAAATGACTAAAAATACTAAAAGCTTCGATTCAGTGAATCATGGATCAGAGATTTTCATATTTAATGAGTACAGAATTTAAACAGGAGAGAACCTTTAGATATTTCTAAAATATAACTCTGTGTTTGAAGGAAAGCAATAACATCTTTTCCTTTTCTCAAACTTACTTCGTCTCTTCAGGAATATTTTCCAATTTATAGAAAAAAAAAAGCATTTTTCATTCAGTATCATCTTCCTTTTGCCCGAAGATCACCGATTTCTTGTCTGAAACCTGCCATTAATTGATCGAATATGCAGGCGATGTTGTCTACTTAAGAAATTATTTTTGTCATATTATGTCGATTTCTCTTTCAGCGTAGCTCATACATTTTTCTTCAGGAATGGTCTTCGATACTTTTTTCTAAATCTCTACCTTGATATTTGCAAATACGTTCTGGAGTTATCTCTGTTTACCACTTCACTACCAAATTATTTGTGTGAATTACGTCCTTGGACGTAATAAAGAATCAACGTAAGGAGTTATTTTAGGGAAAGACGAACCGTTCAATCCCAAGATGGTAATAGAGTTCGCGAATTAATTATTGGTACAGATGAATGAACTTTGACATTGTTTACAAGCTTTTTTCCAATTTTTTCAGTATTATGCATGATTTTATTAAAGACAAGTATCTTGGGAGTATGGAAGCGCTCAATAATGCATGTTGCATTTACGTAGTACAATGTGCACTTTTTAGAAAGCTTATATAACATTAAAATATTCAATATTTTGAGTAGTTACAACTAGTAGTGTTGCACGGTAGTTATAATGACAAATATGAATTCCTATTCTGTTTTGTGATATTTTTTATCATCCTTGTCCTTTATTTATACTTAGTTTATACATACGAAACTTACAATAGTTACTCTTGATTCTTTTATAGCTCCTCTGACAAATTAATTATATTTCAAGATAAAGCTAAAGTGTAGAGGGACCAACCGTCACATTTGCGATAAGTAATGAATAAAATGAGTTAGAATTGTTAGACGAATATTCACCTTTAGTAGTAATTAATGATAAGTTTTATTTAAGGAACACTATATTTTAGTTATTAGTAATTAACTATCACTAACTATATCGGTCCTCTTCTTGATCAAGACGATGATAATAATTATTATTCTATTCGCCATATCGAAGTCAGTATAACAGAGCATTTACGATTGAAAATTACTGATAATAGTTAATTCGTCTAACAATACTAATAGCAGTGGACAATTATGTACTGCTGACGAGAACAGTCGTGAAGACACATTCAAGTGATTCTGTACTTGATTTTAGACTTTGGTAATACTCAGATGAATCAAATTTTTTACCGCTGAGACAGATATCATATTTATTTTATGTATAACATCGCTTTTTCCGCGCTTTACACGAATTATTAAGTACAGCACGAGTTATTATACTACATTTAAATGGCATTACATTGCCACAAAGATTAATTTTTTAGTGAAACAGTTGATTATGGAAACAATTGGGAGGAAAAACTCTTTCTAGCAGTGAAAAAGAAATGCATAATAATTTTACGTATTGCCAGAATTTATGAATAGTACTGTTGTGATTTGTTTTTTTTTTATATGTCTAGTCTTTATCCCTGGTTTGGGCATGATGTACAATTTGAAAGGAAGAAATTGAGCGAAGGATTAAAAACAAAAAGTTCTATAAGATGCAATTAATTGGGTTTTGTAAAACTTTTTGCTTTTATGCTTTTTATATCTGAAATTTGGTAATATATTTGCCTTTGTGCAAGCGATCAGTATATACTTAGAAAGTGCGAAATTAACATATAAATATTACATGATAAGTTGTAGGAGATAAGACAGTGTTAATCGTTAAATTGTATCATCATCTTCTTGTGTTACGCAGAATCTGACTTTATGCAACAGAGCGAACCATCTTACGTCGAAACAACAACGACGGAAATTGATCCAGTAACCAATGAAAGGTATTAAATAGGTTTGATCCTATACGACCCACTTCCCCATGTATAGAAACATTTCGTATGGAGTTGCGACATTTCTCTACGTTTTTCTCTGGAGCGTTTAGACATTTTTCGTATGAAAACAAAAATTCATGTACAGAAATGATTCGCGTAGAAAATATTCGTATAGAAATATCCGAATATCATATACGAAAATCCTGTAGAATTTTTATACGCAATCCATACAGAAAATTTCTATACGATTTTTTCATACATGTAACCGAGTTGGATTTGATTGTCATAGTATCTCGGTAACGAGTGATTCCCGAAGAAATGATTACCATAAGTTTTTTGCAAACAATTTTCTAATAAACTAGGGTGAACAGGCCAATTGCTGGACGGTTAAGGCAAATTCGAGTTTCGTGGTAGGATCTAAAATAAAAGCATCATCTAAATGGAGATATAATGGCTTCAATACCTTCAAGAATGTTTTAATTAGCAAAAACAAATGATTTGAAGGGAAAATAATAAAACAAAGAATAATTAAATTAAGAAATAGTTGAATGCGCCGAAACCCCTAATTTCTGGGCGACTGGGTCATATTTTTTTGATTTATTAAATGTCGATCAATAGGAAAAATAATTGATCACATGATTATACACGAGTAATATTATTGAAAGGTGAAATAACACAATCAGTACAATTTTCATTTTATATATGGAATATTCAATGCAAGTTGAAATCATTCAGAAACTAACCCGCGTCCAGAAATTGACCTGTTTACAAAGCAGTTTCGACATGATGCCCTGAATCACTCGCTACCGATGTGAATCCACGATTAAGAGAAATTTCATGTTTAACCATGGAAATAAACTTTCTCATCGCAATGTAATTCAATTTTTCCTCATAAATGTCTTTAAACTCATTCCTCAAATTTCTACTTCTAGAATCACAAAAACAACACGAGTAGCAACATCATCAGGAACGACGGGTGGGGGAGCTGGATCAGACGAACTCCGAGAATCGATGCAAAAAATTGTCGACCAATTTATGACAGAAGAGAGAAGAGGCCAGTAAATATAATGAATGCAAATTAAGCTATTTAATTTCGAGAAAATTATTTTAAAACAATTGGTGTAGCCAAGGAGTATGAATTCCTCGCAACAGATTCAAATTTCTGATGTTAATCAGTATTTTGTAAATTTGTGTTCTGTATTTTAAAGAAATTATTGAATTTCACCTGATGTAAAATTCAATGAAGTGCATGTGCGTAAAAATTATGGCCTAGGCTTCCGTATTGTTCGAATCCATATTACGATTTTTAGTTACGATTTTAAGTTCGAAGGCTTTGTCGAGTTACAATTGAATCATTGATACTTGCATAAATTATTGTGAGCTAGTATGACTAGTTTTTCTGCTAGTCATCACTATGCAAGGCCATTTCAGCCATGAAAATGAAAAAAAAAATGGTCTATTGGTACTTTGCTTTGTACTTTCTATCCTGAATTATCTGTCAAGTATATTCTACATATGCTTGGAACACAAAGAAACCATGTAAAACTCAAATTATCCTTCGCTTTAGTGAAATAAATTACTGTGCAGCGAACTGTCGGCACCTGCACGAATGAAAATTAATACATTGCTTGGTAAATAATGAAAATGGTAATGTTTTTTCAAAGTAACTCTTAAGCTTCGGGCTTGCATATTGCAAAGCAACAAGAAGGAACAATTTGCTTCACCGCTATATCAAAAGGATCCAAATGAAATTTTCCATCGCATCAGTGTAAACATGTATTTAAGATGACAATGAAATTTGTATAGTCACAATGCCAGTCCGATCATCTCAATAATATGGCAATTGATAATTTTTATCAAAATGAATAAAATGCTAACAAAATGAATACAATGTAAATTATTTCTTATTCGATGATAATTGTCTCAAATGAATCTTCAATTAAATTGTATATTATCATTATTTTCTTATCTTAATATGGTATAAATGCGTAATTATTGTAAACCTTCGATCATGCATAACTGAATGTAGACGATTATTTTATTTATGCAAAAATGATATTGATGATAGAGTAAATTTAATTGAATGCCAATTCAATATTTTCAATCATGCTTCATTGCCAACTTTCTTTCTGAGAAGAAAAATAGTGAAGATAACACTATATATACAGAAAAATTATGGGAAAGAATCTACAATGGCTGAATTAATGAGACAGTAAAATTGAGGTAATATAAAGACTCACGTGTAGGCTGTCGCGATGATTAGCTTTCGTTGTCACAATAATTGAAAAAATTAAATTATGGAAAGTTTCTAGAATATATTTGAGATCCATATTTAGATGAATACAAAAATTATTGATGGAAAATATGAGGATGTAATAAATTAAGATAAATGGAGAAAAAAATTCTGTTCTAGATTGAGAATATTCTATTAATAATATATAATATATTGTATTTGATGAAATATGACTGCACATTCAAGATTTATAAATTATTGTACCTATGTCTAAACAAATTGCATTCAATAGACTTCGCCTAGAGCCCAGTTAACCTAAGGACCAAAGGCACAATCATAAATCCTATCATTTTAATTATGCAAATTCATTTATTTCGGTGATTTTACGGTTTACCCTTATGTGAATGTTTGGGGTGATTTGTATCAGAATTGAAAATTATTATTCCCATTGATTTTTCTAGGTAAGTTAATTTTTGTACAATTTTTTAATTATTTCAAAATCTTCGTTTAGATGATCATTCCTAATTAGACAACACCTTGTACTTTATGGTAATAATTGGATAAGGAAATAAAGGAGGGGATGCTATTGAAAAAACAGTGTATTCTTTCCAGAAGGCTGTAGCTATGGTTTTATTAGCCCTTAAAAAATTATCATACAATTCAATATTGGACTATCTAAACTGAAATAACAAAGCTGAAATTTTTCAAGTAAAATCATCTTTTTTTTTAATTTAAAAAACATTCACTATTGAGCTATCCCAATTCCAGTGATCCGTGGATTGAATTCTTTCTGGAATTATTTTTTACTGTTGATGATGACTTTGAATGGTAAAAATGTGAGTTTATCATGATTATTTTTGTTTTTCATCTTTCCAGTTTATTCCGCACTACTTTAGGTAATTATAAATTTCCAAACACGAAAGTATTAATTCTTAAGTAATTATGCTAAAATGAGTGGTAAGACGATTTGATGGTTTCGTTTTTTACATGCATTGAATTGGATTTTCAACAACAATTCTAATGCATTCAGTGAATCAATCACTAGCTTTGTATTTTTTTTCATCGTTATGACGTAACTTGTCGAGTTATGTCGTACTGCACGATTAATGAAAAAAATTGATAGCAATTTCCTAATATCTCTGAATTATCCTACCGAAAATTGTTCAATCGAATATGCGAGTAGAACAAAACAAATTGAAAAAAAAGATCATGATAGTTTATTTATAGATACAATTACTTTTACACTCGGTTAATCGAGTTTAAAATTTGTCGCGTATCGTCAGAATTTTATCGGTTTATTTCGAATTAATTATTTATTAATTGAATGTTTTTTTATCGGCGCTGATTTTAATTTGCCGGTGTGAGGATACCAATTCTTATTCTATTATTGCTCTGACTATGGCGGAGTAGCTCATCAGATCTGAAAAAAAGGAAGCATTTTTTAGTTGGTTATTTCTTCTGGTGCTCTCGAATCAAATGGAACTCTGACACTTTTTGATGGTTGGTTTATTTAACGCATTATGTGAGTTATTTTAGTTCTTTCTTTCCATTATCTTGTCGCTTTGGTCTGGTTAATTTCAGTCAGATGATTGGTTCTGTGTGTGTTTTACAGAGAATCTAATTGAAATTGAGTTGTTGTTCTGATGAGGACCTCGACATTTGAAGTCTAAATTTCGACACTGATCACATCATTTTAACAAATTGATAAACTTTACTGACCGCAAGGCCATTTAAAACCTTTATAATTTTTCACTCAATTTCAATAATATTTTTATTATTAATTAATAAACTCTACTCTCGGGGGCGCCACCGGTCTGTGCTGGCTGAGGCTTGTTTTTATCTGAGCTCCGTGAATTTTCGTTACTTTAACTTATTTTAACAACCCTGACTCGTTTTTAATTGACCAACGTTTGTGCTTTTATCTCTGACTATACCACTGAGCTTGCCATAATCACACCAATTGACATTTGCTCTTCAATATTTGGTCTGCAAAATCACCGCTGTCAACGAATGCTAATCTCCATACTCCGGCGCTTGACAGTTACACCTGACGCATGAACGCACCTGCCATAGCAACAACACGATAAAAAAGCTAACCAGCTGTGACTAGTTTCCATCATCTCATCCATTTTTTCTCCTCTTGGCTGTGACAACTCATCCACATTGAATTAAATAAACCTCAGGGTATTATTTTCTGTATATGCTTATATGTATACCACAGTCACACAGCATTAATCAAATTATCACCACTAGTTCCATCTATACGTACAAAGAGGCACCATGTCAGGTATTGATAAGGCAATGTTGGATAAGCCATTGAGCGAGATATCAGTCGGTCAATTCCTTGCCATGATAGATCCCACGATGAAGGAAACGATCACTTTATCGGTCAAAGAGGCTATTGACCCACTGAAGGTTCAAGTTGATGATAACACAGAGAAGATTCGATCCTTAACAGAGGAGAATCTCAAACTCCAACAAACTGTCGAGGCACAGGCAAAGATGATCGAAGATCAGAAACGTCAAAATAATCTCATAATATATGGTCTAGCAGCACCTAAAGAAACCACTGGTTTATTCGATACTGTCTAAATCCCTGGAAGACAATCTGGAAATTTCGCTTCGGCTACAAGATGTCAACTACGTAAGAAAGCTCGGGATCGATCGAAGAGACAAACCCAGTCCCATCATCCTCTCACTGACCTCTTTTAATACTAAATTACAGATTCTCATGAAGACTTTTAAACTGAAGGGGACCAGGGTGTCAATATCAAGGGACTACGACAAAATCACTGCTGCAGCTCGCAAGGAATGTCTGCCCATAGTCCAGAGCCTAAAACATCTAGGCTTTGATGCCAAGCTCAGGGATGCTGACATATTAGTCAATAATAAAAAAATAACCAAGGAAGAAGCTCTACAACTGATGAAGAGACCCAGGGATGCTGATATCAGCCCACCCAGCACTAGAACCACCTTTAACAGTGGTCAACAGGGAATGACTCCAACAGATCCAGCTCTTACAATAAATTCAAAAAAGCAGAAAGATGAGAACTCAAAGGAGCAACAGAAGAAGTTTTTTCGTCCTAGCCCCCTCTCTACCTTCGCCTACAACAAATAATCTCCCCCCTTCCCTCCAGTTTACTCAAGATCCCACGTACATAAAACCAATCGATTCCCCTCCCCTTCTCACACCGAAATCATCTGTATCCAAAAACATTCACACTCCTATCTAACCACGAAGCAGATCCATAGCTTTTTGGAATGTAGAAGGCATCAAGAACCTGTTCAACCTCGACAAACCCATGATGAAATTTTTTTCCAATCTTGATTTATTTGGCATCGCGGAATCCTGGTGCGATCGTGAGATCTCAGCATTTCCCAGCTTCCTATCCAACTTCCAGTCGTTTCAATTCCCAGCGAAAAGATCTTTTTCCACGGGCAGACCGTCAGGTGGTCTCATCCTCTTCATAAAGAAGTGCTTAACCAGCAATACTCCGGTCATGCAGACAACCACGGAAAACCTCGTAGTATTCTCACTGCAGATTGAAGGCACTGAGTTATTATTTTGCTTGGTATATTTCAACCCTGATATGGATGACGAGGTTGCTGTGAATGAGCTCTCAGATGCAGTTAGTACTTATAGTCAGANAAGCAGATCCATAGCTTTTTGGAATGTAGAAGGCATCAAGAACCTGTTCAACCTCGACAAACCCATGATGAAATTTTTTTCCAATCTTGAATTATTTGGCATCGCGGAATCCTGGTGCGATCGTGAGATCTCAGCATTCCCCAGCTTCCTATCCAACTTCCAGTCGTTTCAATTCCCAGCTAAAAGATCTTTTTCCACGGGCAGACCGTCAGGTGGTCTCATCCTCTTCATAAAGAAGTGCTTAACCAGCAATACTCCGGTCATCCAGACAACCACGGAAAACCTCGTAGTATTCTCACTGCAGATTGAAGGCACTGAGTTATTATTTTGCTTGGTATATTTCAACCCTGATATGGATGACGAGGTTGCTGTGAATGAGCTCTCAGATGCAGTTAGTACTTATAGTCAGAGATACCCCAACACTCCCTTCTTAATCATGGGTGATCTTAATGCGAGATTGGGTTGTTTGAATCAACTGGATCCCCATATCACTGAAGGAACACATTTGATACACTTACGATCAAGCCTGGATGAAAAAACAAGCCGCAGGGGAAGACTCTTGGAAGATGAATTGAGCAGTCTTGGGTTCTTACTCTTGAACGGCAGGACAATTCCCCAGCCAACTGGACTTTCATGCACCAAAGAGGGATGAGTATCATTGATACCGCCTGGGTAAACATCTCAGCCATCGACCATATTCAGGACTCTCAAGTCATTCCACATGGAACAAAGTCTCCGCACCTGATCTATAAGATCATCCTGAGTGGTTTACCTGAATCTCTTCCATCAACAATGAGCATCCCAACTCCGGCCATAATAGAGAAATACGTGTGGGCGAAATCAGAACACTAACATCTCATGTATCTTAGCTGTATCTGTGATGCTTGGGACTCTTTTACCAGCCGCACCGATGATCCGACTTCTCTGGATCGACAAATGGAGGGAGCCATCAAAGTAGCAGCAACGCGAGCTAATCTCTGCAAAACCTTCAATCCTGATAAACCCTACCTTGGGCAACCCTCCAGAGTAGCGGCTCATTGCAAGGATCTCAAAGAAAACGTTCGCCTCTTATTCAAGATCGCCAGGGACTCGACTTTTGAGAAGCAGCATAGAGACAACTATCTCACAGCTAAAAAAAATCTAGCTTCCACTATGAATACGGTGGAACAAGATAACAGAGCGGCGGAAATTGCGGCGATCTCCAATGTCCGCAACACACGAGAGTTCTGGTCCACGTACAGAAAGCTTTCTCCAAGGCCACTCTCCACCTGTCCCCTGTCAATAGAAAGATGGGAGAGCTTCTACCTGACTCACTACTCATCGGAGTTCATCGACATCCCAAGGAATCGTTTCCAGACGATACATCCATCACTGGACCTGGCTATCTCCTTCGATGAGGTGTATAAAACTCTATCACAGCTGTCAAACAACAAAGCGCCTGGACCGAACGGTTTAGCGAACGAGTTTTATAAGAGTCTTCCACCACCAGGCCTCTACACTAAGTACCCTCTTCAACAGAGTACTGGAAACAAGCATAGTCCCTGAAGACTGGGGAATGGTCAAGACGATAGTTCTGCATAAAAAAGGAGACAAACTCGACCACAACAACTACCGAAATATTGCGTTATTTAATTGTATCTCGAAGATCTACACTCAAATAATTGCAAACCGCATGCAGAACTGGTGTGAGGATCAGAAACTGCTCCCTGAATATCAGTGTGGATTCCGTCGGAACCGAGGGTGTTCTGACAACCTCTTCAGTCTGCTTTCGGCCACTCAAATAGCTCTGAGCCAGCCCGGCAGATACCTGTTTGCTATCTTTGTCGACTTCAAGCAGGCGTTCGACTCAGTAGAGCATCATATGCTATGGGACAGAATGAGGAGTCTTGGTTTAGGCTCGAGAGCTTTGAACCCAATAATGGATCTGTACGAAAAGCTTCGCATGTTTTACGAGATCAATGGTGTAATGTCGAAAACAATGAGAATCACCAAGGGTACACCACAAGGAGAATCTCTAAGTCCGCTACTATTCGTCTTATTCATCAGTGGCTTGGAGATACACCTTCGTGAGGCAGGGCTTTCAGGGGCCAGTTTGGGTGGATCCCTTGAACTGTTAGCACTAGCATTTGCTGACGACATCGTCCTTCTCGCGGATTCAGCGCAGGCCACTCAAAAGACGCTGAATGCTCTGAATGATTTTTGTACATCTCTTGGGCTCTCCGTGAATGCCAAGAAAACCCAGGTCGTCATTTTCAAGAGCCCGAAGTATCTCAGTATGCCCACCTTTAAATACGGAGAAAACACAATTGAGACCACAAAATCGTACACGTACCTCGGGATCTTGTTCTCCAGATCTGGGAAATTCAATGAGGCTGCGATGGACCGAGTGAGCAAGGCAAATCAGGCAATTGGCTCAACTCTAGGTAAACTCAGGAAGGCTGAGCCCAGATCATCATTGCCAGCCGAAAAACTTTTCAACGCGGTGGTCAGTGCTACTCTCCTATATGCGGCTGAATTCTGGGCGGATGGTCAGGAAAAGATTTTACGCACAGCGCAGTCGAAATTTTTCAAACAGCTTTACGGTTGGCCTCGATCTACCCCACATTACGTCGTTCGCCTTGAATCACAGATACCTGATATAACTATAGAAATTTTGAAGAGGAAACTGAGGTGGCTAGTGAAGTTACTGGAAATGGATGAATCCCGACTGCCTCGACAATGTTACAACAGACTGCTGTACATTGATACCAGAAAACCACACTCCCCGAGTACAAACTGGGCCAGTTCTCTTCGTAAAAAACTGGTCTCCCTCGGCTACGGCACGATCTTCGACGAGCAAAATCCAATCACGATTTCATCTCATATTGAGCTGATCTTGGCAAAGGAGGAGAATAACTTGAGAGAACACAACCTGGAACTGGCACAGTCTTCGTCATATTGCCCGCTATACCACCAGCTACAACAACGCGACTCGAACTATCTGCACTTCAACCTGAATTTTGTTAAACTTGCACTCATAAGTCAGGCGAGAGTGGCTTCAGTGAGGGCGATCTGTTTTTACTGGAAAAGTAAGCGCATCAGACTCAACCCAGAAAATTCATGCCCAGTGTGCTGTTGGGACTGTCCAGATGACCTCCAGCACTTCCTATCTTCATGCCCAGCATCGGAGTTGCTTAGGCTCAGATTCTCCAGTCTAGGATCGTCAATTCAGGAGATCTTGAGAGTCAGAACACCAAGGGAAGCGGATGTACTCTTCATCTACTTAAAAAATCTGATCTCTCTCCGTTTCAACATTGTTGGCTCCTAAGTCTCTTGAATATTCATTTGTAATTGTTTATATCAATTATTGCTCGCAACAGAATTGGCCTTTGTATTTTTTATATCTATCTAGTCAACCAGCGATCAATTTTTCTTTTATTTTTTCATTCTCAATTATTAAATACTTAAAATCTTCGATTACGTGAATGTTTGTGCTTAAAGTCTCTCAATTTCCTAGCTTCTACTTGAATTAAGGACCTACCCCGTTATGTAACCCCCATGTACTGTGGCCAAGTCACAAGAGTGCATTATATAATAAATAATAAATAAATAAACTCTACTCTTGTATTTATTTTTATGGAAATGTTTCAATTATATGAAATAAAAAATTCATTTATCCCAAATTATTCCTCTAGTAGAATCAAATAACGAATTTATTTGATTCGAATAAAAGATTATTACGTGTTGATAAATTCGTTCACTTCGCTGTCTAAATGATTTCATTTCCAATTCATAGTCTTTAATTGGATCAAAGAAACATTTTGTATATTTGAACAACTAAGTTTGAATAAAAGATTCATTACGAGCAATTTGAATGAACCCATTTATTTGATTCAAATAAAGTCGATTCAATTGAAATGAACCATTTCTCTGGGTGTGGGGAAGTGACAGAATCATGTGTCGATATGACTCATTTCAATTGTTGATTATTGTTGTTGTGAATCTCGGTAATATTAAAATGTACGTCAAAAGACTTTTATCGTAAAATTTTTCTCGGATATTTCCTTATCAGTAAGATATCATTTCCCCGGATGTCTTACCCGAGAACTATTCTCTCCCGAAATAATTACATCATACACAAAGTGTTAAATTACGGAATTGGGAGACTTAACTTATCGAAGATACTTACATTATCGACATCATCCTCATCATCGTCGCTGATTTCATCACCGAACTCAATATCCTCGTCAAAGCCATCTTCCACGAATGTAACTGTGTCGTTGATACGAACTGAAAGAAGACAAAAACAAAAATATAAAATTTGCAAATTAAATGAACTTCATGTTGCATTGATCTAAGTTATCTTATCAAATACTGATAGGAAGGAGTGGAAGTTATGACCTCCGAAGTAAAAAACACAGTTATACAGGGGCGAGTGGGGCAAAATGGACACTTTGAATTTTTCTGAAATGTTAATGTTTCATTGATTTGTAAATGAAATAATTTTTCTTCCATCGAAAAGACGATGCTTTACATTTATGATGAGTCAAGTTCATCAATTTTTTGGTCAATTTATGAACATTCAAAAACGATTCAGTGTCCATTTTGACCCACCCCCACCCTCTGACTGAGTGCCAGTACAACTACACCATTGCGTTATAATCCAACAAAGAAACACCGAAGTTGAGGGCCAGTTTTTGGTTTAACTAACGACGGTTAGACTTCGGTTAAAGATCTCCAATAGGGAACTTGCATGAAGCTCAATTTTTTCTAATTCCCCTATTCACACATTCCTCATAACATATGGATGACTAAGCGGCCAAAATTATGGATAAATATTGCCTAGATGTCTTATGTTAATTAATTGAAAATCATTCGTTTTCGAGGCTAATTTTTCGGACATGATGTCACGAAGACACTCATGTAACGCTTCATTGGTCGGAAAAGAAGAGAGTGGGGAGTTGTCGTCCTCCATCGGCCGAGGCGTACCTCAAGATTGGATTAAGTTGACCGAAGCCATTCTGTAATTGGTCCAGCACTCGACCGTCTGTGTAACGTCATTAACGATTTCAAAGCATTTGAAATCTTCAACTTTTAACAACTAATTATTAATTAATGAGCAATATTTCGAACGTTTGCGAAAGAAAAATACTATTTTGTCAATGCTGCTACGTTCAGCCCGTGTCGAAAAGTGCCTTTTCGTTTACGTCACGTGGGACGTGAATTGACGGGAATTAACGGGAGTTGAGGGAGTTTCGTTTACTAGTAAACGAAAAGTCTTTTCGTTTACACGTTTCGACTTTTCGTTTACTAGTAAACGAAACTCCCTCAACTCCCGTTAATTCCCGTCAATTCACGTCCCACGTGACGGGAACCACTACCACACCTCCATGTAGCACTCATCAAACTCACTTAGTCTTTTCGTTTACACGTTTCGACTTTTCGTTTACTAGTAAACGAAACTCCCTCAACTCCCGTTAATTCCCGTCAATTCTCGTCCCACGTGACGGGAACCACTACCACACCTCCATGTAGCACTCATCAAACTCACTTAGTCTTTTCGTTTACACGTTTCGACTTTTCGTTTACTAGTAAACGAAACTCCCTCAACTCCCGTTAATTCCCGTCAATTCTCGTCCCACGTGACGGGAACCACTACCACACCTCCATGTAGCACTCATCAAACTCAACTCCCGTTAATTCCCGTCAATTCACGTCGCACGTGACGGGAACCACCACTACACCTACATGTAGCACTCATTAAACTCAACTCCCGTTAATTCCCGTCAATTCACGTCCCACGTGACGGGAACCACTACTACACCTCCATGTAGCACTCATCAAACTCACTTAGTCTTTTCGTTTACACTTTTCGACTTTTCGTTTACTAGTAAATGAAAAATGGCACAGTTCGGCACTCGCTGAACGTAACACCACTAACAAAATAGTATTTTTCTTTTGCAAACGTTCGAAATATTACTCATTAATTAATAATTAGTTGTTAAAAGTTGAAGATTAGTTGTTAAAAGTTGAACGAAAAGTCGAAACTTGTGAACGAAAAGACTTTTCGTTTACAAGACGAAAAATCGAAACATGTAAACGAAAAGGCACTTTTTGACACGGGCTGAACGTAGCAGCAGTGACAAAATAGTATATTTCGTAACGAGTGCAAAAAAGTGTTTTTTCACGAGTTACGAACAATATTTTTCATCACAATGTGGCGGAAATTGAACTTTTAGGCACGCGGAGCGTGCCGAAAAGTTCACTTTTCGTCACAGCGTAATGAAAAATTCATATTTCGTTACGAGTGCGGAAAAGAGTTTTTTGGCTCGTGGGAAGTTTATAGCACGAGCCGACGGCGAGTGGTTCCCACGTGGTTGAAAAAAATTCCTGCAAGTTCCCTATTGGTTCGGTTCAGTGATGAAGGGTCTTGACTTAAGTTCAACCACGGGTTAAACGTGGTTAATTTGAACAGAAAACTGGCCCTAAGTGAAAGTAATTTTACCAGTTTCTGGGAACTCTCCGTATGTCTTCAAATTTCTCGCTTCGTCGGACGTGTACTTGAGAATAACGTCGGCCTTGGCATCTTGGTAGTCACGAAGACCTATCAGAATAATGTCCCCCTGATTGATCCATACTTTCTTACGAAGTTTTCCTCGTATGTGACACAGTCGTTTGACTCCGTCAAAGCACATTGCCTCAAGCCTACCGTTGCCCAGCATTTTTGTGACCTGAGCATATTCTAAATAACAAAATTATGAATAAATGAAAAAACAAAATATTAGAGATGTGCAACCTCGTTACTTATCGTAGTCGTTACAATATGAGAAAGTATTTGTTCCTCAATACTCGTTACTCGTAATTTTTTTTATCGATGATTGAAATAAAAAATAAGAGTCAAGGGGAGACTACTAGGGTCAACAGGTCAATTTCTGGACGGGGATTAGTTTCTGGACGATTTCAACTTGCATTGAATATTCCATAAATAAAATGAAAATTGTACTGATTATTTCACCTTTCAATTATTTTTTCTATTGATCGACATTTAATAAATAAAAACAAATATAGCCCAGTCATCCAAAAATTTGCAAATTCCGGTTCCGGCTGCATTCAACTATTTCTTAATTTAATTATTCTTTGTTTTGTTATTTTCACTTGAAATAATTTTTTTCTGTTAATTAAAACATTCTTGAAAGTATGAAAGCCATGATATCTCCAATTAGGTGATTCTTTTATTTTAGATCCTATCACGAAACTCGAATTTCCCTTAACCGTCCAGTAATTGGCCTGTTCACCCTGTGAGTTTTAAAAGTCGCAAGCTAGTGGAGTGAAATATCTCATGAATTGGGGATCCAATTCTCCAAATATATCCAAATATATCCAAATATATCCAATTATATCGAAAAACGAATAATTCGCGTAAAAAATCAATTGTTCATTGTTCGTTTCCCCACAGATGCTTAAAATGTTAAAAATAGTCCATAGCCTCCAATTTTTGAGTTACAGAGGTATTTTTTCTTTCAAAATTTTTGAAAAAATGTTTACAATAATAATTATGAATTAGTTTTTTGAAATTCGACTCCTACGCAGCTAATTTCGTTTTGTCTAGTATAAAAATTAGCGCCATTCATGTAAAACAGCCAGAAAAATTATCCTTAAACTATTTTAAATATATTCAGGGGTGCTATTCTCAAGAAAAAGCCGCTTTTTCCACCGCTTTTTCGAAGCTGCGATTTTCTGCAGCGAGGGGGCGACACGATAGTAATTGACGCAAAGTAATGACTTTGCGAACGCATTATGCGCATTTGCGCCTAAATGCCCCTCCATCTGCAATTTTTCATTTCGGAGCAGCTATCATTTTTATTAGAGTAAAGTGTTAATAATTCACTCCAATACGTGTTACAAATGAGATAAATACTTGACCGATCAATTAGTGAATAGAATTGACTACCTATCGACCACTGAGAGTAAATATTGATGCTGGTAAATATCTCAGCTCCGATTTTTGATGTCGGAGCGAAAGTGGAATTTCACACAGCTATTGTATAAAATCCTTGCTAACCCTGTTATTATTTTCATTAATAAAAGCCAACAAATAAATCCTATGAACCACTTGAACCTGTAGTATTTACTGAACACCGAGTCGGGCAAGTCCTCCAGTGGATTTGAGGTAAGCCCCGTTGATGGTCTTCGGTTTCTTCATCAACTAACACTGCACCTGTTATATTATCCGCCATCATCACGGTTGTTTAGGTTTAAATTTCCCTAAAGTTGACTTATCATAGCTCTCCCAAATGTCAAAAAAATCTGCCAGATTTGAGGTTTAAAATGCGTTCACAAAGTCATCAATTCGTGTCATTTAGTATCGTGTCGGCTCCTCGCGGCAGAAAATCGCAGCTTCGAAAAAGCTGCGGAAAAAGCGGCTTTTTGTTGAGAATAGCCCCCCTGGATTTTTTTAGAATTTTTTGCGGGCTATTTTACATGAATAGTGCCATTTTTTATGAAAAAAAAAAAAATTAACTGTGTAGGAGTTGCATTTCAAAAAGCTAATTCGTAAGTGTTATTGCACACATTTTTTCATAATTTGACATGTTATTGAATAAAATATTTTCGAAAAAACATTTTACATCAGTTGGAGAATCTTCTATCACCTCCTTTGGAGTTTTTAGAGGATAAGCTGGGAGTTTGCATTGAGGAACATCATTATTCGAACATTCTTTGGTTTCAGGCAGCTAAAATGAAAATTTACAAAAAATACCGAACACTTTGCCATCTCGATACTCGTTATTTTCGGGTTTCAGAAATAACGGATTAGAATTAACGACTAGTTACTACCCACACATCCCTACAAAATATGACGACGAGAGAAATCCATTGTTTTCTTATGGAGGATAAGATCTTGCATTGAAGAATTATTAATCAATTAATAAATAATGATAATGGATGGAAAGTTCATGAATATATTAATTGAGCACGGAATAATATCTTTTACCAATGAATGAACGATGAAAAAATATTAATTTGGTTATCGTTTTTTTTTGTTTCTTCTCCTAGTGGTGAAAATTGGTTGGGAAATAATTGATTACCTTGACCATCTTCTTTGAAAACCAACTCTCGCTTCTCAGTTTCGTTCTCATTCTTTCCTCTCCTGCGATTTTTACCTCCCTTTCCTGTTGTCAAACAGATAAAAATAATTTGAAAATGAAGAAGTCCCAAGCACTTACTAATAAATTCGTCATATGCCAAGAAAAATCGAAGGACACACCACTTTCCACGAACACAGACAGGTTAGTAAAAACTAACCATATTATCACAGGCGAGGATGCCAATGAAACGCGACATTTAGTTGGACGGAGTAAATTCATGAAAAAAATATCACAATCGTGAAAACTGAAATTCACTTACCCTTATTCTTCGGCATTGTGTTCTACTGGCTTGCAGAAATTTGTCAGAATCAATCAAATAACGTTCGTCAAAGATTCAGCCAGACACTGAGGAGCACAGGCACCATGGAGGAAGGCAAAGGTGAGAGGTGACTGTCGTGTATGTCAAAATATAACGCAACTACAATTTCAACATTTCATGAAAAACAAAAATATGCAAAAAAATTTACTTTCATTTTAAATGCACAATACAGCTGAATAATTCGAATAAATAACAAAAATTTATAACAAAATATTTTTTAATGAAGTAATTTGACTCGAGCAGGCAGAAGGTAATGGAGAATTTGTACTAACCGACTCGAATGTACTCATAGAATTAAGGAGTTTTTGCATAACAGAAACAGATGGCAGCGAAGTGTCACGCACTCTCTAAAGGTATGATACAAGCAGGTATGCCGCCCAGGTACTTAGCCGGAAAAGGTCATTAATTAGAAAAACTCGATTGTACATCGTTAGTACATGATTGTACAAAGCAAATTTTTGTTTGTACATTCACTCATTAATTTAAAAAAATTAATCAAGTTTTGGCATGATGCTAGTCGGAAAAAAATGTACATTGCTTAATTGTGCTAAATTATGGGTCAATTCCGAAGGAAATCGTTTGTACAGTACGAATTTCATGTTTTTATTGTTTGTACAATCATTGTTAATTAGTTAGGTTGAGGTGAACAATTATGATCTAACCCCACCCCCAGCAAAGCATTGATAGTTCCTGTATTATCGACCTGGGCGTTTTATTCTCTCTGTTTGTGTGTGTTTACAATATTAGTTCATTTTTTCATGAAAAAAAAACATTAAAGTGAACAACATAATTGTTGATGAAGGATTAATCATCTTATTTGCACCTGTACGGGAAATAGAAATACATATCTGCATTGTGATACGGGACATTGGCATAAGGGAAATCATTAGCCCCGAAGATTCTGACAGCTCGAAAGAGGTTATGTTTGATGAAAGATTGTTAAAAGGAACATTCCTGCAAATTCGAATAAAACGCCAAGGTCGATAATACAGGAACCATCAATGCTTTGATGGGAGTGGGGTTAGATCATAATTGTTCACCTCAACCTAACTAATTAACAATGATTGTACAAACAATAAAAACATGAAATTCGTAATGTACAAACGATTTCCTTCGGAATTGACCCATAATTTAGCACAATTAAGCAATGTGCAGTTTTTTCCGGCTAGCATCATGCCAAAACTTGATTAATTTTTTTAAATTAATGAGTGAATGTACAAACAAAAATTTGCATTGTACAATCATGTACTAACGATGTACAATCGAGTACATAAATCGTTTTTCTAATTACTGACCTATTCCGGCTAAGTACCTGGGGGTGCAGGTATGATGAAGCCAGAAAACAGGGGACAAGTTCGCCGGAGCGCCAGAAGCGGCGTTCCGGTCGACTTACGCTTCCCCTCATCTCCTTTAGTCTCCCACCACTGGCAGTTTTTTTGCTGGAGGGAACGTTATGAAATTGATATTTTAAGTCAAAATAATTAGCCCCGTATGAAATTACATGTACAATGCGAAGAAAAATAAAAAAATGCAAATATATTCTTGGTTTTTCATGTACTATTTCTTTAATAGTCAATGGCCCGCTCACCCTTTCATTAAGGGGTGATTTTTATCTTATAATAGGTGAATTCTTTCTTTTTTTACTGAAAATAATTACCAAGATTGAGAGTGAAATCACTGTTCAATATAATAGCATTGAAAATAAAATGAAAATGCATTTTTGTCCAATATTGAACAATATTTATTTTTCGCGCGAAAATATCTCGCGAATGTTGTTTGCTTATGTCTGTTCCAAAACGTACTCCAATAGATCTGAACAGTCTGCGCGAGTTGATTCATGTAAAATGATTAAATCGTGTGCAATTATAAATTGCAAAGCATCTTCTAAGGATAATTATCGTTTTTTCTCCCTTCCCAGTGTGAAAAAAATTGAGAAGCGACGACAATGGCTGGAAAAAAGCGGTGATTTGCTATCGAGTGATCAAGTGTCAAAGAACGATTGTTGTTTGTGTGAGGTGCGTAAGTGAATAGTTGGGACTTTTTTTTTTGTGGATCTTGAAACCCCTTGTACCTCATTTATTTCACCCCTCGTGACCATTATGACCCTCGTATCTTTTTCAANTTTCTAAGAATAATTATCGTTTTTTCTCCCTTCCCAGTGTGAAAAAAATTGAGAAGCGACGACAATGGCTGGAAAAAAGCGGTGATTTGCTATCGAGTGATCAAGTGTCAAAGAACGATTGTTATTTGTGTGAGGTGCGTAAGTGAATAGTTGGGACTTTTTTTTTCTTTTGTGGATCTTGAAACCCCTTGTACCTCATTTATTTCACCCCTCGTGACCATTATGACCCTCGTATCTTTTTCAAAACTTGCTCATAGAAGAAAACTTTAATTAACATAGTTCAAACTGGGATCCTCATTATCGTAATCCCATCCCTCCAAATTCTTCCCCATTAAGCTTCACTGAAGAGAAGAGGAATAATTAATAAAATGGACTTCTGATGTTAATTATTCTTCCTTCTAATTAGTATTTCAATCGTCTAGTCGACATGACTCTCAGTCAATCTTTATCGCTCGATCCCATAGAACTATTTGCTGAGAATCATATAGTTTTCATCTCAACATTTTTTAATCCTGTTCCTCTCGATTGAACACAAAATTTTATTTTCATCACGCTGTATCGGAGAAGTAACTTTCCGACACATTGTGATGAAAAATTTTGTTCGTAACTCGTGAAAAAAGTGGTTTTTGGCTCGTGAAATTATATCACTCACCTTCGGCTCGTGTTATAAACCTCCCATTCGCCAAAAACCACTTTTTTGCACTCGTTACGAAATATACTATTTCTCTCTCATGAAAAAAAAAAAATTGATTTGACGGGGATTTGAACTCGCAACGCAAGTAAAATCGGCGTGTGGTGGGAGATCTAATCCGCGTGAGGGGAAGGGACGCAACAGCGCCGCGCGCGGCTTCCGTTGGACTTGTCCCCTGTTTCGGTGTCGGCGACATCAAAGCTTCACCATACCTCCGTGTATCATACCTTAGCGTTTTCAATACCTGCTTCTATCATACCTTCGCACTCTCCATTTGCCAAAGGCATTGAACAAAAATGATCAGATACATGCTATCCTTGTGTAATCCATTAAAGGGCGCGTTTCGCAATCGACTTAGTAGCAGTAGCAGTACTGTAATCCTATCTAATTTCGCTTTACTGCAGCTACAGTAGTTGATTCCGAAACGCACCCAAAGAGTGCGTAGCCACCTCTGGCGCCATTAGTCCGTGAATTGGCCGGGAATTTCCCTAATATTTAAACAAAATCAATGGGAATCCGACTTGCCCTTTTGCAAAAAGTATTCAAACTCGCATGAATTTTTTTCAATTTTCTAATCTCAAGTTAAGGACCTGAATAATTCATTTTTCATTCGCAAACGTTCGAAATATTACTCATTAATTAATAATTGATTGTTAAAGGTTGAAGACTTCAAACGCTTTGAAATCGCTAATGACCCCAAGTAGCAAACCTTGCAAAAGATATCTGAAAGTATACCAAAAAGGCAGACTAATGTCCGTCCAATAGGTATCTTGCAGTCATACGATAACTTTTAGTTAACTTCTAGGTAACTTCTAGACACAAGTTACCTTTTTGGACAGACATTAGACAGCCTTTTTGGTATACTTGCAGATACCCTCCAGAACTGTGCTGCTTGGGTATTCGCCGTTTAGCTATCCATATGTTATGAGGAATGTGTGAACAGGGGAAATAGAAAACATTGAGCTTCATCCAAATTCCCTATTTTTTAATTTTGGCCCCTTAATGACATAATTTATTTGAATGATCGTAATGCACTGCAAAGTGCAGAAAGAATTCGTAAAATTCAATCCAATGTGTACATTGCCGGAATAATTTTCTTGTGCACATTTAATGAATTCATCAACATTATTAAAGAAAACAATCCATCTCCTCATGATTTTTCTAGTTCATCGTGACAAAGAGCTAAAAATGTGAAAATAATGGGAAAATGATGAAAATATGGAAAAGGAATCGTAGTAACTCTGCATTCATTAAAACACAATTCCCTCCAAACAACTAATAACGATTAACGATAAACGGACGAAAAAACTTTACTGAAAATGACGTGAGAACTCACATAATCGTGTGGTGGAATGCCTGTTTCGGAAATTTGTACGGAAATACGGGACAAATTCAGTAGCGAAGCGATAAATTGATTTAAGTCGACTCAGCTCTTCGCTGAGTTTTCGAGAAATATCGCGGAATCTAAGGAAAATAGCGAAATTTTCATTATAACTTGTTTGAAACGTAGTTAAAATTCAGTACATCAACGGTTGACCACAGATCGGCCACTTACGAAAATCTTCGGGAAACCTCGGGTCAACGGTCAGGCCTAGTCAATCACCGAATCTCAGCGTTAGTTAGTCTCAGATCATTGTACCAATACCAAGATTTGTAATTCAACAGCAACCTCATTGATCTTCAGGAAGAATGAGAACCTCACCAATCAACTGATCAATGAGAGAGAACATCAACAGCAGACATCGCGGGGAAGTCAGAGATTCCAGGGAATGAGAGCTAAGTATCATTTTCCATTTATTATTAATTTGGCAAGTGATACGTCTCTCACCCTGTGCTTCTCCCCCTAGCAAGCATCACCAATAGGCTTGGCGTCGATCGAGAGGATTTATGCCTCCTTCTTGTCGACAACGGGCTTACCAGAAAGAAGAATATCATCAGCAGGAGGTCAAAGACTCACCAATGAGAGACGCGACCATCAGAACAGCAGTTATCACATCAACTATAACTCCGAAGATCATCAATGGAGTTCAGCAGAATTGGGATCGGCGTTCCAGAATAGTTTCACCTAGCCGACCTAAATGAACAGCAGACTGGTCCAATCAGTTATAGCAGGGACTTGACAACAGAGGCGGTTCAACGCCAAGTTCACGTCAACGAGAAGAAAACGTGTCGACACACAATTTTGATTCGATACTATCAAGCTCAATCAATCCAGGTTACTCAGCGAAGTTTGCCTCAACTGCAGTACAGGACTCTTCAATGAGCAAC